CCTGGCATATGCTTATCTTACTTCAACTATGTGCAGCGGCAAATGAGCTTGTTGTTGATGTGCAAATAAATGCTTCAAATGCCTGTTTCGAACCACTTCACAGATGTATTCTAGACATGGGTTTGTTAAATGTTCTGCATTTATGTGTACTTTGGTAAGACTTTAAATTTGTTTATATTAACGCACATTAATTTCTAGAATTGGTCTGACTCTTTATTTTGGAGGGTTTACCCATTTTGATAGTGGAAGATTTTTTTTATGTGTTGAAAAAAAGTGAAATAATTGGCTTACCACTAAATATTTAAATGTGGTCAGCAACTTTAGAATTTTTATTTATTTTTAAAATAATAATTCCATATTATACCGCTGAATTCAACTGAAAAAGAAGCTTAGAATTTAGGGCTATTGGAGTCATATGATTTGAGAGTCAATTAACCTCCTGAATCGAGCCTGGAAGCCAGGATATCAATGTACAATAAATGTTGTAAACAGACTTTAACTTTTCTCTGATTAATGTTCAGAGTACCCTTAACAGTTAAAACGCTCTGGCATGGGTAAACTTAGTGAAGAAGAATGTTTGATAATTTAAAAATTAAAATGATGGAAGTAGACAATTATTCAATGAAGATTCCCTGATCATGTCACATAGTTTTTATGTTGTATTATTGATATCCTGAAGACGGAGAACTGTTTTTGTATTGTTCATAAAACCTATCTTGTAGATCAATGCATCATAATGGCAGCTGTATAATGAAATAAAATACACTCCATTGTTTCTGAACAATGGTATGATACTATTTTCATGGTTTCTTTGACATACAGCACAAGGCTATATATTTAACTAGTTCAGGCTAGCATTTCTCTAAAGATATTTGACGCCATTATTGAACAAAAACGGTTAATCAGTAATATCTTATTCATAAGACTAGATAGTATTTATCTCTTGAATACAAGGTTACTGTGATGTGTCTAGAGTTAGCTGCCTACTGGAGGTATCGCCAACAATCAACTGATTGAAATTCAATGAGCATGGCCTCTTCTAATGCCTTTCCATGAATTATAGATTTCATCTTTGCTGGGAAGCTTATCTAACAGCTTGATGTTGTTCAGATGACTGATCAAGCGAAAACCCTATTTTGCTTGGGAATTTGTTCAGTTGGATAACAACTGAAAACCAATATTATTGTCAATATGTGTGTAGGAAGAAAAAGGAAATGTAAGTGGGACAGTTTTGTCATCAATTATAGTTAGTCATGCTCTAAGCAGATTTTAAGTTCTTTGTGAAATATTTTTTTAAAAAAAGATGGTCAGTAACAAATGTGAACATTCTTTATTTCGAAAGGCCATGTTCTTTTTATGCTTGACTGTCCATATTGTCACAAGGTTCAATATTTCACTCTGTGGCTCAATAAAGTGGTGGGTCAGTGGAATGACAGGTTTGGGCTAGTATATATCTTGACGTTATCATAAGGATGTAAGTCTCCTTAGATAACGTTCTCACTGACTGTTTCACTCACTGGCTTTGGCATAAGACAACTTGAAGGAATTAGGCGAATGTTTGTCTTTTCATGTAGTATGGCAGACTCACTCACTCACTGGCTTTGGCATAAGACAACTTGGCATAAGACACTGGCTTTGGCATAAGACAACTTGAAGGAATTAGGCGAATGTTTGTCTTTTCATGTAGTATGGCAGACTCACTCACTCACTGGCTTTGGCATAAGACAACTTGAAGGAATTAGGCGAATGTTTGTCTTTTCATGTAGTATGGCAGACTCACTCACTCACTGGCTTTGGCATAAGACAACTTGAAGGAATTAGGCGAATGTTTGTCTTTTCATGTAGTATGGCAGACTCACTCACTCACTGGCTTTGGCATAAGACAACTTGAAGGAATTAGGCGAATGTTTGTCTTTTCATGTAGTATGGCAGACTCACTCACTCACTGGCTTTGGCATAAGACAACTTGAAGGAATTAGGCGAATGTTTGTCTTTTCATGTAGTATGGCAGACTCACTCACTCACTGGCTTTGGCATAAGACAACTTGAAGGAATTAGGCGAATTTTTGTCTTTTCATGTAGTATGGCAGACTCACTCACTCACAGACCTTTGGCATAAGACAACTTCGAGGAACTAGGCTACTTCTTGTCCTTTCATGCAGTATGGCAGGTATTTACAAACAGACAATTTGTTGCATTAACTCTAAAACATGCACACTGACACTTACACCCGACCAACACATGTAGTTGCTGAATCCCCAGAGAAACCACCTTGTAATCTGAAAGCAAGCCAACATACTTGATGATCTAAACATAATGTCTTGGTAATGATTAGGGCAGGATGTTGGATGCAGAAGAGGATCCTTTGTGGCCTCCAAACAGTAGATAAGTACAAACAATCTGTAGATAAGGCTGTTTATATTGATCTAGGATGGGAAGCTAAGTGAGTTTGCTGCAGTGGACGATGTTGCTGATGATGGTGGTTTGATGTCCACGCTGGTTATACAATATATTGATTACGGTGGGGGATAGGTTATGAAAGGCAGTTGAATAGGTTTAGGCAAAAAGGAGATTGGAGTTGAGGGAAATTGCTTCCATGAAGGGAAAGAAATTAACACTTGGCTAAGACCATGAATCATTTTGAATTGTAGGACAAGGGCTGGTAAGAGCTTGGCTTTGGCATAAGACAACTTGGAAGGAATTAGGCACATGTTTGTCTTTCATGTAGTATGGCAGACTCACTCACTCACTGGCTTTTGCATAAGACAACGGAAGGAATTAGAAGCGAATGTTTGTCTTTTCATGTAGTATGGCAGACTCCACTCACTCACTGGCTTTGCATAAGACAACTTGAAGGAATTAGGAATGTTTGTCTTTTTCATGTAGTATGGCAGACTCACTCACTCACTGGCTTTGGCATAAGACAACTTGAAAGGAATTAGGTGAATGTTTGTCTTTTCATGTAGTATGGCAGACTCACTCACTCACTGGCTTTGGCATAAGACAACTTGGAAGGAATTAGGCAGAATGTTTGTCTTTTCATGTAGTATGGCAGACTCACTCACTCACTGGCTTTGGCATAAGACAACTTGAAGGAATTAGGGAATGTTTGTCCTTTCATGTAGTATGGCAGACTCACTCACTTGACCTTTGGCATAAGACAACTTGAAGGAATTACAATTTGTCCTTTCATGTGTATGGCAACTACAAACAGACAATTTGTTGCATTAACTCTACAACTGACACTTAGGCACCGACCAACACATGTAGTTGTTGAATACAAACCCCAGAGAAACCACCTTGTAATCTGATTGAGCAAGCCAACATACTTGATGATCTAAACATAATGTCTTGGTAATGATTAGGGCAGGATGTTGGATGCAGAAGAGGATCCTTTGTGGCCTCCAAACAGTAGATAAGTACAAACAATCTGTAGATAAGGCTGTTTATATTGATCTAGGATGGGAAGCTAAGTGAGTTTGCTGCAGTGGACGATGTTGCTGATGATGGTGGTTTGATGTCCACGCTGGTTATACAATATATTGATTACGGTGGGGGATAGGTTATGAAAGGCAGTTGAATAGGTTTAGGCAAAAAGGAGATTGGAGTTGAGGGAAATTGCTTCCATGAAGGGAAAGAAATTAACACTTGGCTAAGACCATGAATCATTTTGAATTGTAGGACAAGGGCTGGTAAGAGATGTGAATTTTAGTGACATATTTTATGCTATGTGGGTTCAGATTGGTTCATTTTCAAGGACATTGCTGACATCTGGGGTTGTTTTAAAAATGTCTCAAAGATGATTTTGTATTTTTGTGATTCTATCAAAAAATATGAAAATGTCTTAATGACATTTGTCTCTGGCACAATTATTTGTTTCAATAGATAGAGGAAATGTCTGTATCTGCTGCTAGGGATAGGACGTGTAGACAAGCACAGATGAGTGACTAAGTGTTTTGCTGCTGTCAATAGCATTACACATGGAATAGGTAACACCATTGTTTGGTCTTCAGGAACAGTCGAGATTACAGCCTTAAGTGTACCCCAGGGTATGTAGATCAGCATTGAACCTGTGTATATCATTGTTATATACCAGGAGAAATATTACTAAGAAATTCTGCTGCTGACAGATTTCTTGCTGTACCATTTTCACATCAGCATCACATTTCCTGTATATCTGTAGGTGATTCCAGGTCCTGTGTTTGTGTCCTGAGCTTATAAGAACAGGGATTGGGTGGCCAGGCAGTGGGTGTGGCTGTGTGGCTGATTATTTATCTCTGAGCACCAGTAGATGGGATTTTGTCCATTACATCAGTCACTGGTTTCCCTTCCCTTGCCATGTTGTCATTATTTATATCATTTAGGTATATATTTGGCTGTTAAATTGCTGATTGCAGCATTAAACAACAGACATGTTCCTAGTGACTCACTCACTGCAGACCGCCTCCGTGGGGTAGTAGTTAGAGCATCCGCCCAGAGAGCGGAAGGTCGCGGGTTCAATCCCCGACCGCGTCATACCAAAAGACGTTAAAATATGGTACTTGTTGGTCCCTGCCTGGCGCTCGGCATTAATGGGTACAACAAGGACTGGTCGGCTCGGAGTCAGTATAATGTGTCTGAGTGGGGTATTCATGCTTCACTGCGGCATGTTATCTCAGTGGGCTAGCACTATAAAACCAGCTTCAGTCTGGGCTAGTACAAGCAGCCGCACATACACACGCATGCACGTCGTCATATGAGCGAAATATTCTCAAGCACGAATTTAAACCCAGTTTCACCTCATCTCACCTCGCTCACTGCAGAAGCACAATGATATTAATACACTCATTCAACAGCCAATTTAGATCAGTCAGTTTTGTGGATCACCATGCACCATGATCATTCACTCACACACTTGCGCACGCGCATGCTCCCTCGCTCCCTCACTCACTCATGTTTTTATTGAAATATCAGCCATCATGGTGAAAAGTTTCCTGTAGTAGTGATCTTGTATTTTGCAGATTGTGCTGTGTCAGATGTCAGAGGATGGGTTCCGCTCAACATATGGAGATGACCAACCTCTTTCTGACATCCCAGAGACAGAAACAGTTTATGCATTTGAGACATTGCCAGACAATGACCCTGCCAGTGCTTCCTCCCGCTACGAGACTCCCCTTCATACACATCCTCCTAGTACACGTGGAGAAGTCTACCAGCCCACAAGGACTGTAAGTAGCTGAACAGGAATAATATATTACCATGCCCATTGTTCACACTCCAAGGACGATTGTTACAACAGGACAAATTATACTGAATTAAAGACTGAATATGTATTTGGGGGTTCACTGAGGTATGCATTGAAAAACTGATGTAGAAACTGTGGGAATCAGCATTTGCCTGTATGTTTGCTGTTTCATTTCTTGTTGGCCTTCCACCTCTAAGGGTGATTTTGAAGTTGAATAGGCAGGAATTTCTATAAACAGTCATATGCAAAATGATACAGGTGAACAAGTAGGAAATTCCCTTCACTGTTACTGGGATTTTCTAACTTACTTTATATTTTTTCAGACATCTGACATTTTGAGATGGCGAGTGTGTGACACTTCACAGACACATTAAATACAATCAGATGATGGCTTGTTTTGAAATATAAAGTTATGTTTGTATGAGTGAGTGATATGTTTAAACCATTGTTTATGGTATTTGAGAGTAAACACATATGTTTCTTAAAGTAAAAACATGTAACTGGAGGATATCAACAGAATGTAGTCCACTTCATTGGGAATGGCTTAATTTTTTACATTCTCTGCTAACCGAAGGTAATAACATTTGACCAGCTAATTAAAATGAAGGAATTATGATTCAATTAATGAAAAAATAATTATGTATATGCAAATGTAATGGATTCTGATGATGATACCACTGTCATCACAATCATCTTCATAGTTGCCGTCATCCCCAAGTGTTTTTTCTACTTCTAGTTATTCCTCAGAAATGGCTGCACCAGATGTGCTAATTTCTACTTGCTGCTTGTTGTCATCAGACAGTTATTATCTGATATGGTCATATTAATTGTAAACATAGAAAATGAATTCAAAAGATTAAAAAGACGTATGGTGTGTTAAAATCTTCACAGAATGCTGAAAGCATTTGTAAGTAGTTACCTTAACATTATTGCATCTACATGTATTTATATTCACTAGCATTCACAACCTTGGGTTGTTTGATAATCTGTTTAATGCAGCACTGAGCAATCTTGCAGCTGTATACTTTGGAGTACCCCAGTAATGGGAATAATTTGTTGAATTTCATGCTTTAGAAAATATGATGGGACAGAATGATCGGATTAGCTACCAAAAGGCTTTGGGTACTCTTATATTTAACTCACAATTTGCCTAACTACATACACTCCTGCAAAAACACCTGAATATGCACTAGAACATGCTATAAACTTGTCACAGGATGACGTTACAATTATGCCAAATAATGATCATATATGGTAGCTTGATATTTTGGTGAAATATGCATTGTGTACATTATTTTTATTTTTCCAAATTTTCTGTTTTCTAGATATGTTTATGTTCTTAAAATTTGCTTTCTTAAAGTCAGAGAAAGATGGACCAGGTTTGACTTAAACTTTTGAATTATAACTGCTGTGATCCTCAGGGAGAAATTCCATTCATAAATATTTCATGGTTGATTATTATCATGCTGGTTCTTGTTATTTCAGTTTCCGCTTCTGCAGTCCAAGTGTTTTGCGAGTACCACGAGACTTCACCTACAAACGCCTCCAGAAAGAAATACTGCACTGCATGGGGGATGCAGTGAAGCCAGAAGCCCTCACCCAGGTAGGAGTTGTCTCCCTTTGATCAGCGTACACAACAGAACATATGGGATAAATGTGAATTACTAACATTTATCATTGGAGAATTAAACTTGTTCAAGTAAAATTAAAATCTCTCTCCATGAAGTGAGGTGGGCGTACTGGAACAAGGTATGTCCCAAGTCATTATTTCGCTTCTCAGTGGAAAGAAAAGTTCTCAAATTTTACACACTGATGATTTGGTCATGATCTAAAATCTTGACTTGCTTAATCAAGGGCTGGGTTTAAGGGAAAATAATGTGGTTCACTGACTGTCAGGCAATGTAATTCCACTTTCTCAATGTATTTTTATGCTGTTGTAGAAATCAGTATTATTCAACTTACAAGTTGTGGACTGTCACCCCAGCAAGGAGTACCTCCCTCTCGATGTGGAAATGCCTCTATACTCACAGGCAGTGGACAGGTCAGTGGACTTTACTTGCTGCACTACTTACTGTGGTTTAGGGAATCCTTCTAAAACAATAACATTGTCTCAAGACATTACTGTACAAACAATTTCTTGTAAATATATCAACTATTATTGGCTGAGTTTACAATACAAATTCAGACAAATTGTTTTGACAAGACTTGTACTTGTGACTGTTGGTTATGTTTTTTTGTCTGTCATTGTTTAGTATTTACACATTTTGGTATTTTTTGTTACTTTCATGTCTTGGAAGACAGAAATGTTTCTGAATCCAAAATATTCATGAAATATTGTGATCCGTTTCAGAGTATTGACATACTATGGAGAAGACTATGGGCCTGTCCATGTCAAGTTGATGGCTGAATGGGACACACAGATTAAAGAGGCGTACGTCTTCTTCATTACAGTTGTAGTGACATGATGAAATGAAGTCATCGTCACATCTTGTAAAATGATAAGCATATAAACACCTTCACTATGGTTGAAAATGTTTAAGAGTCATTTGTGAAATTAGCCAGCCAAAGAGTTAGTGTTTTGGAAAATCTGTTTCATCCACCTTGATAGTTTGGTTGTGACAGAACAACACCAAGCTAAATTGCAGCAGTTGTTCGTGTGAGCCAGTTGAGCTCTGTAGCTATTGTTGATTTTCAAACATTCCTTTGCATGTATTAACACAAGACTGATATTGCTTCTTCAATATATAGTTGATTAGTCACATGTGTGTCTGATTTGGTAATGGCAGCTGGGGAATGCTGCTGTTTGAAATGTGTAAAAGTGTAACTTTGAGAATTTAAGAAACAGCTGTGTAGTTTTTTTTTGCAGCACTTGATTGTGTCTTGCAGGTTTGTTGTGGACGATGATGATAACATTGATGAACACCCATCAGTCCACCACCTCCGTATCTCACAGCACCTGAGTCCGACAGCATCACTAGACGAGTGCTTCAAACTCTACACACAGGAGGAGAAGGTCAGTTAAACATGCAAAACATTAGCTTGTGAAGATACAGTGTCTGCTAGCTAAGGTCAAAGATAGAATATATATTCTAATTATTTGCGACAATTGTTCTTTAACTCGTCCTAAGTAGCTTCTAAAATGACTGGGGCGGTGGGGTACCCTGGTGGTTAAAGCGTTCGCTCGTCACGCCGATGACCCGGGGTTCGATTGCCTACATGGGTACAATGTGTGTAGCCCATTTTTGGTGTCCACCGCCCTGATATTGCTGGAATATTGCAAAACGCGGTGTAAAACCATACTCACTCACTCACTCTAAAATGACTACTATGTATGAATGCTCCTTGCATTATTGACCACTGATGTGTAACTCATGTGAGTGTGTTACCAAATTTAAATGTTCAGGTGTCTGTATAGTTCAGTTATAATATTGTTGCTCATAGTGTGAACTACTCGACACAAACAAGTGTCACCTTGCTAATAAGGTCAGCCTGTGAGTTTGAATCCAAGATAGTAATTACTATGCTGCTGATCTATCTAAAGGAGACTTTCATCAAGTATTACTTTGACACGCAAATGTGGGTGTCAACCAAAGTATAAATATAGCGCTGCATCTGCTGTCAATCTAAGTCAAATGGAAGAACCGAACATTTGACAGTGATGACAGTGCTTTGGAAATATATTTACTGAATTAAACCTTCTAGTCTGTGATGATGAAAGACTTTTTATTTCAGTTGAGTGGTGACGATGCCTGGCTTTGTCCCCACTGTAAGAAGCAGCAACAGGGCACCATCAAGACCCTGGGTCTGTGGTCATTGCCGGATGTTCTAGTCATACACCTGAAGAGGTTCAAACAGGTGAGCTGTCAAGATGACCACAATTTAGAGATGGAAAGATCATTTTCACCTGTGAAGCCTGCTGAGTTGATACCAAAGGCAATACAGTCAAAGATAATTGCAATACACTTGAAGGGTGACATTCCATGAAGACTAACTACTTGATTCTGATAGGTCAATCGGAGGTTTCAAATCACAAAAAACACCTCTGATTGTTAGAGCTGGTTTCATCACTTTCAGAACACAGACCACTTATTTCAAATTCTAAACTTTCAGATACATACACATCACTTTCTCATGAAGCAGCTTATGCTAGGAATTCCTAGTCTGTTGATCTCGAGTCTGCCTCTTCCCAGCAGACATTAACACATCAGCTTAAAACACATTTAAAAACTTTCCTGAACTTCAGATCTATGTCACTGTCTGTACATTTTGACGATGTCAGGCTCATCATTATTTTCATTTAATAGTCCTCTTGCTATATGAACATATACGATTGTGGAGTTTAGCTAAGAGTCCTGTTATTGTTCTTGATATTTATTGCAAAATGCTTCTTTCTGAATTAGTGTTGTAGGCAAATAATTATTTACACACATATACACACTAGATGTCCAATTCCCGGTTGTGTTGAACTCATTTTAGGGTCCCCAAAAGCCCTAATAACCCACAACTATGTGTATGCACTTATTCATGTGGCCAACGCTGGTCATTTACCAACAGATTCGGGGGTTCTTTTAAGTGCACAGGGTTGTGTACTGTACACTAGGGGTTGTGACACCACTGAAAGATTCTGCACACAAAGTCTGCTCCAAGGCTTTTAAACCTGGTCACAGGTGGGTTGGATCCTGGCACCTTATGCTCGCTGGATCATTAGCCTGGCACCTTAGACAGCTCGCCCACCATGCCCCTGATAATTATATACAATTATATGTTACAATATGCAGAGTGGAAACCACATACAATATTCTGAGTAGGTGTGTTGTACATTCTGGGCAGAAAACATGATAATCAGCCTCAGCTCATGGACTGTTTGCCTTTAGAAGACTTTGTTATCAGCTTGTGGCTTATTGGAGTGTTATGTCTGATGTTTCCAGGTGGGCATGAGAAGGAACAAGCTGAACACCTTGGTGAACTTCCCTGTTAGTGACCTGAACATGACTGAACATGTGGTCCAGAGGGACGACGTGCAGAACGGTCACCCAGGACACAGACTGACCAATGGCAAGGACAGCACAGGAGGCGGGATGATGACATGCTTTATGATCTGTTTGCTGTATGTAATCACTATGGCAACATGAATGGTGGCCATTATACAGGTATGGACATATATTAAAAGAGGATTGTGCGTTGTCTTGTATGATAATCCATAATCAGTTGGACAGAACTGCCAGACATGATTTAGCAGTTTGATTTGTTATGCTCTATAATGTTTCATTTGGAGAACTGTTGTGTGCATTTTTACAATTGCAATGAATTTGAAAATTGGTGCTATTGCTATTGTTGTTTCCCAGAGAATGGGCTTATTGATTAACGTAATTCTACTGTGCCATGGTAATGGTGTTAACTATTATCTTCTGCTGTTACTGTATGCCATATTATATATCCTGCTGGGATTGTATTGTGAATTTGGAAGTCGATCACACAATTGCTTTGGTGCAGTTCACATCACTCCATTGATTTGTTTGATAAAACGTGCCAAATTAATGTACAAATTGTAATACACCATTCACTCACTCTGTCTGCCTTTGTTTATTTGCAGCGTATTGTAAGAACCCTATTGATGGTCAGTGGCATGAATATGATGACACAAGGGTGAAGGACATGTCCCAGTCACAAGTAACATCCAAAGCAGCCTACCTGCTGTTCTACCAACGACGCAGTCTCTCCAAGTGCTGCAATCAGAACTTACACACTGGCAAACACTGGATCTTCCGTATGTACGCCAACAACAACAATAACAATAACAATAACCATGTTCCCCCCAGCCCTTCCAGTCCTACCAGTGCAAAGTCGGTACACTTCGACACCTCCTCACCCCAGCAGATCCCACGTCAGTCCCAACCCATGACGCCAAACACGTTGAGACGGGAAATGGGAGAGCATCCCATCAAACCTATCCTGCGACCTCTCACACCTCAGCCGCCACGAAGACAGAACTACAGCCCACAGGAAGTAGATTATTATGACCACAGTCCAACGTCACGAGGAAGGGAGGTAACTCAGGAGTTCCGAGTTGCGAGCTCCACTTGTTCGGCAACACTCTGAACCTGAGGCTCATAAGGGGATGGGTGCATGTTTCAGTTTAAATAGGAATTCTGGACACAGTGGTGATGTGTACGGTGTCAAATCTCCTCAGTTGACTGAGAAGCACAGCCATTCCTCAAACCTTTTGAACGGACATGATCATGAGAGTGGTACATTCAGGAGGAGCCACAGACCACAGGAAAGGACAAGGCCTAATGTCAGTCATGATGCCAACAGCCACCGACCTCCACGCCCTCCAACAGACTCATATTCTTCACGTGATTCCACAGACAGTTCAAATCATACTTCCCATACAACAAGTGACAGTTCTTCTCACCCTGTGAGAGCAGTGAATGGCTCGGGGTACCTATCCTCGCCAAATGAAAGCCCAAGCCATACATCAAGAGCTTCGTCAGATCTTAGACAACGACGCAGCTCCAGTGAAGGGCCTGTGGTGGTGTCTCATGCGACCCAAGACAAGATGTCCGTCATGGTGGCAGAGTCAAAACAGATTGTGCCTCCAAGTCCTGTTATGGCTGCTCCATTGCCCAGTGGATCAAGAGCCCTGGAGGAGAGGAGAATATTGGAGGAGAGGAGGTCATCTGAAGAGAGGAGAGTGTCTGAGGAGAAAAGGGCATCAGAGGAGAGGAGCTTTGTGCATCGAGACATAAACACCATTGACACTCGGACATCAGGTATGTCAGTCCTGGTATCAGACATAGTTCATTCAATTAGTATCATTAGTATCATTTCAATTAGCTGTGTAGAGCTCACTTCTTCAATTGCTGAGTTTGAAGAGTGATGTCCTTATATTACTTGCCACAAACTTTAATTCAGAGTTTCTTTGCAAAGATGTTTACTTCATGCTCATGTTTATATAAGGTTTAGTGGTTACCCACTGTTGAAATATGAAAGCTTATGTTTTGTGGATGTAACATCAATGTAAGATTCTTTTGTAATTTGATTACTGATATGTAGGATAAAAGTATGATTTTCTTTGAATCTTATTTTTTATTGTTACAATGTTAACTGTTAGAAATCATTTGAATCACACCTTGAAATTATGTTCAAAGGTTCTGCACGGAATTCTGAAGACAGAGACATTCCTGAGAAGTATGCTACAATTGGTCGTGACATTCAGATGAGAATTGATGCTCTCATGGATCAAACACGCAACATACAACGCCCCCAGACAGACAATAACATGAACACATATTCCAGACCGCCCCGACCCCATACTGTCCAGCGACGGCAAATCGATGGCTACGCGATGGAGCCACGTGATCGGGATAACATGTCGATCTCTAGTCTCAGTCAGAGGCAGAGTCGCAGTCCTCAAATATTGATGCAAGAGACACTATGTCAGTGAAAAGCTTTGGGGACCAGGTTTACAACGGCTATGGCCGACGAGATTCCAGTCGAGGCCCAGTGCGGTATCGACCACACATACACAAAGGACACATGCATGCACAGATGCAGGCAAGACGCAGTATTGAAGTGCCAGCTCCTTGTTTGAAAGAATCTTCTGTATAATGGACGCGTACAGTGGCATGCTCACCCTTTGTGAAGTCACAAATCCTTGTTGAGAATTTCTGTGTTTATTGTAGGGGTTGTCATGAACTGTTGAAGACTGATGCCAGTATTGGAACACATTAATGGAATAACATAGAATCTGTTTGTTGTGTTGCATAGCTTGGATCTATGGCTGGTTGTTTACCATTAATTGATATGTTTAGTGCTATACTCCTACTGAGGAAGATGTTGTGGTGTCTTGTTAATGATACAGGACAGTTGCACTGCTGATGTCATTGTAACTCCGAAGGTAACCCTGGCTTTAAGGGTTTGTGGTAGTGTGAAGTAGACAGTCCCTGAAAGAGATTATAGCGTGAAATTTGGGACTCCTTGACCTATAGTGCTGTAGTTTTGTACTTTGCTGTGATGTCAGGTTAAATAGGATGTGTATCTGTTTGACATGGTCCACCAGCATAGCTTGTGTGCCATGTTTGTTCATGAAGGAAACTGAAAAGGGATGACTGTTCGCGAATCAATGATGATCACTTCAGAAACTAGTGTGGACTCCATGGGACTGCTACAGCCGAATCTGGAAAAGGACTTTGACCGTTATGTTCAAGGTTTTGTAACCTTAAAAAGATGCCATTTTTGTGTAGGTATTGTGTTGTGGAGATTCACGTGAAAGGTGTCTAGGACTAGATGTTTGTTTGACTTCTCACTTGTTAATGACATGACTTCACCACAACCATGTGTATATAACAGATCCCAGTAGCTGCACTGTACATAAACACAGCAGGCACATATCATGTAAATATGGACTCCATCTCCGGCATGGAATGGACGGCCTGATGTGTACAGACTAGAGGCATGCTCTACCTTACTGTTACAGTAGATGTCAGAGTAGTCCATATCTTCATAACATTGTGTACAGTAATTTCCATTATTTGAAAATATAACTGTTCAGTGAATAGCTTTTTATATATATATATTGTTGCTGTATATTCTTACACATGCTACTCAGTGACAACAAATACCAGTGGGTGTGACTCTGTGATTGAGTGAATAGAGATGCTGTCCCATTGATGAGCTTCAGTATGCTTAATTCAAACAAGACTTTTTCAAGAACAGGGCCCAATTTCACAAAGCGATCTTACTGCTACGACTGTCGTAAGCAAATGTTAACGTATAGGAATTACGATCATCTTAGTGCTACAGTCGCTTTGGGGAACAGGATACAAGGCCTAAACTTTAGCAAACGACTTCCAAAACCTGTGCATTGTTCCTGTGAGGGGTCTTGATGTTGCAACTTGACTATAATCAGTTATCTCCCTTTCAGGAAATGCCATGATAATAATGCATGAATCCTTCCATTTGATTCTAAACTTTTTAAATGAAGATACTGATATCTTTCCTGCCCAGGTTTCCATGTACAGTATTACCTATGATCTTGTTTCATTTAAACTATTAACAAAGCATTGATTGGTTTTATTGGTGAGTCATAGAGTCACATCCAGGGGTATGATCCAAGTACAATGTGACACTCTTTTGTCCATACAGCAATGCAAGTGACCATACCTTGCCTTGTGCCATAGGTACACTACCACTCAGCGACAACGATTTACATAATCAGTGTTTGCAAATATACATCATCACAAAGTGTCAGTGTTGCTGTTCTATCTGGGATGAAAATACCATTAGTGTGAAAGGTCTTTGGCTAGGAAGAGAATTCAAATGTATCGGTTGAACCAATCTATCTTTGTTGAGTAGCTGAAGGATATACTGGATCTCTTTGTTTACCTTTTTGGAGATGTGTTAACTGGTTTAATGAAACAGTTGCACCTTTTTTATACTACTCAAAAGAAATTAAGAACCAGCCGATTAGTTTGATTCTAAACTTTTTGTCATTCAACTAATTTTCTGGTAAACATCTCTTTGTGTAGCTATGGCATGAGACATTAGAATTTTTTAGCAGTCATATTCTGGCTCATAAATCCTTTTTCATGTCAGACTTATCCCAAAATGGGTACGGATTGTTGTATGGGGAACTGTACATTAGCTCCTTGAATTATCCTATTTAGCTAGTACTTGTTAGGATGTTTGTTACATTGAATTTGGAAATAATCAAAAATGTCATTGGTCAGTTTCACCATTTTCTTTTTACCTCTATAAAGCTATTGTTAAGTGAATGTGGTTGAGTGGACATGTTTTCACTAGGGCTGAAATGATTCGGTTCGATTCATCAAATCTGACACCTTAGTTTCGATTTTCGATAACCATTATCACTATTTCGATTCAATATTTGAATATCTATTTAAATTATTTCCAAACAGCGCGAATGTAATTTTGACTCCAACTCGAGCAGTTTCAAGAGCTGAAATCTGGCGATACGTGATTGGTTAAGCCAGGCTAATTATCCAGTGAGAATTGTTAGTAGACATCGCCAAGTTGACAGTGGATTTGATGGTGAAGAGCCGACTTTGAGAGTTAAATGAAATCAGATATTTTTACTTGAATGAAGAATCGAATTGAAAATGATCGAATCGAGGGTCCAATGTCGAAAATCGAATAGAATTGAGGTCTGGATGAATCATTGCAGCCCTAGTTTCCACTTTTTTCAGTTCCTGTTGATGATGCATATATGTGTGAGGACCAGTTATATGTGAATGATGTTTGCTACTGTATGTGAAAGAAGGCTTCGACTGAATATTGTACAGCCAGTTCTTTCTGCAACACTATTGTGTTCATTATCATTATAATTCCATCTCATAAATTACCCGGTGAAATATATGATGAATTATATTTCTAGATATATCCTATATCTAAAATATGATTTTGAGAACCTTTGAAAAATTTATATATTATGGTTTGCTGTTTAATAAGTATTCTACATCATGAATGAAAGACATGTAGTTGCAATTGAAATTATTACGTCAGACATTTTTTAATCAGTTATTAGTCTGTGTGCATATTTTGTTTAGTTTTAGTGGTTCTTTTTTTGTAGATTATTGTGTACAGAATAGCTGTAAATAGTTGTGAAATGATTTTGGCAGCTAGCACTCAAAGTGACTCTTGAATTGTCTTTTTCAAGTACACATGTAATTTAATTTCTTTTCACCCTTACTGATGCTATCATATCGTTTGTTCAGAATTCATATCCAAAAAAGAATCTTTCAATTGAGAAATTTTCATTTGCAATAAACAGGACAAAGATAGCATTTTGGATCACGAAAAGAAATAATGATAATAAAGCTTTTGAGATGGTCCCTGAAGTTAGGTTCCCTCCATTTGTCCATGACATTTTTGTGAGAGTGACATTAACATGACTGAAATGGCATTTGTTCTTGCACTATGTATAATCTAGCAGATGAAATGTAGACTTGTCCATTTGGCGGTGTGTATCGTGAATAACCTCATAAATCTTTACTGATTTAGTCACTCATTTTAACCCAATCTCAGCATTAATCTTTAAACAGCTAATCCACATTTTGTTAGATGCCAAGCATATAGTTACCCTCTGTTAATGTGGTCAGTTTGGGAATTGCCAGATGCTAATGTACATGACTGATGGATAATATGTTCTTGTCAACAGTCTTTCTTCCAGTTAATGTTCAGTTAGTGGTGAGGTGCTTGATGTCTAGTGCACAGTACTGTAATTTTGCCCAATATTTCTGTATATTCAGTATTCTAGGTATACATTGATTCCAGGTGGTATTGCTATTCCTATTACAGAAGTGAGAACATTCCGCAGCGTCCTGCAGTATTGCCACACTAACCGCAGTATGGCACACCCAGCACCAGCTGTCATCCATGACATACCCAGTACAGCCATTAATGGCCTGGGTGCCGTTGTACAAAACAACCTTAGCGTTAAGACTACCTTAAGTCTATGTTAAGGTATGGGAGTTACGGTCACCTTAGCGCTAAGATCGCTTTGTACAACGGCACCCTGGCCCCGATTTCTCGAAATAAACTTAAGTTTTTACTCAAATTTCAAACTGAGTTTGACAATTTGAAACAGCTGAATTTTTTACTCAAATGCATTTTTTTAAATATAAAGCCCAAATAACTTAAGTAATCTAGCCACCAAACTCAAATTATCTACTAACTTTGAGTTTAATATTGATTTCAGTTCATTCTGGGAAATGCATTATCCAGCGTTTTCTCAAATTTGAGTATAAACTCTAACTTAAGTCAAAACTTAGACTTACGTTTGTTTCGAGAAATCAGGACCTGAAGAAACTAGAAATTTACAATCACTTCAATAAAGTTATTAACAAGTTTTAAACTTTAGTCAGTGATCAACAGACAAAAAGACTTTTTTATTAAGAATTGTCAGTTGGTTGAAATAAGGAATAATGAAAAAGAGTGAGCTGAAATTCCAAGTCATAGGGTTGCTTTGCTTCCAATATTTTTCTTTGCCTAACTTTAAAGTATTTTCAGCTAAGTCGACTTCTGCGTTCCAGTAGCCCTTTGAAAATAGTACTGCAGACATTAGATTTATGTTCAAATGCTGAAATGTATTGTGATTAAGTTGTCAGGTGTAATTCTATGTTGGGAAATACACTGTTTCTGTCACTGGTGCAAATTATTGATAAGTAACATGGACAAGTAGAGGAACACAAGTTTTCCTTTGAAATTGAAATTAATGCAATGAGCTGTCAACCAAGACAGGTGATTTTCTAAAATTCTAAGTGTTGGAACTAGCTTGTTGATCATGCTGGCAGCTGGTTTGAATTCATTATTATTTGTTGTGATCTTCATTTGGGTCAATGGGTTTCAGCAGAATGGTAAACTATGACTTATAGCTCTTGTTTTTCTCCCACACAACTGAATTACCCACTTCTCTTTATGTAGGATTTGTGTTGAAAAGGAAAATTAATGGAAGATAGTTGTTGAACAGAACCTAGTGTATGGGGGGAAAGGGTCATGGCTTCACTAGACCTTATTGAACTAGAAGCAATCCTTGAAAGCTGTTACAAACATTACTTTCTTTACATGCTTGTGTGTTTTCTGAAGCATAAAGTTCTTCAATTTTTAACTGTTTGTGATATTTTACTAAGAAATAACCAAAGTGTATGGTTTAATATATTACCATTTTGTGTCCATAACATTCCACATTTTATGTACATGTGCAATTGCTGTTTATGTTTAGTTTGTAGTGATGGTGTCAAGACCTACACTGTGCTGCTTCATGTTGTTATGTCGTTTGTCACTATTTATTTTGTTTCAAGTTTGCATATTCTTCCAGTTTCATTCATCAATTTAAAGTGCTGACATTTTGGTTGTTTTTGTATATTATGAAAATCAAATGCAATTGATAGTAATATGACATATCTGCAGGCCATATGCTGCAGCCTTAGTGATGCTCACTGTTGATGACAATATCATATATGTTTGTACGAATGCTTGTTTGAATCATATAGCTTAAAAGTGGCTGTAGTCACCGTTTCAATGCTTGCCTCAGATATGGATTTCACATACCGGTATCTATATTGTCTCGTTCTAGTGCCACCGATAATTACCCTCAAATTACCTGTATCACCTTTATCCAAGGTGAATTTTGATTTGGTATCCAATTTACTGCACTATGAAGCTAGTTTGATAAGGTTGCCCTGAATCGGCAGTTTGTTTGAAGGTGTTATTGGGACATGGTAGAGAGTAAATTATATAACATATAACTGTTTTATTTTTTCACTTGTAAACATAGACATTGCTCTTGACTTTTCTCAGGATTATTTCTCAATGATTAATGTCTCAGAAACCTTTAATATGAAGTTTTCCAAACCTACTTTTTCACTCCTTTTTCTTCTTTGTCTCTCTTATTTTCTTATGGAACTGAAAAGAGAATAATCAAACAATTGTTACTTTATACATTGTGGTTGGTTCATTTTTGTTTTGGAACTGATATTTCATGAAATACATTGTGATTATTACCATAGAATGATTTTATTACTTTAGTAATCATTGATATCTTAGGAGGAATTCCTCAAGCACGGATTGAAATGTCCTGTAGTCTGAAGGCTGGTTCCTAGGCAGGCATTTCTATTTCATCCTCTGCTTCTGACACCAGGCAGTTCCACGTTGAACTGTGATTGCTTGTATAGTTGGACCTCTATCATGCCCTTTTATGTAAAACCCCATTATCTCAATGTTCAAGACCCAAGGGATAATGGCCTAGGAGAGACAACGACAACAGCTGATGTTCAGGAAATATCTGTCTTTCCCTAGTAAAGCCGACAGAACTTAATCACTGGGCATGCTTTCAGTCAAAAATTAGAATGGCACATTACATATGTGTATGACTGATTTGTTCCTCTTATTTTCAAATCTGAAAACAAAATTTATTACTATTTTTTGTGGTATTTCATGTGTTAATCAATGCATAATCTCTATAGTTAACTAAGCTATCTTTCTGTTGTGTATAATTTTTATGCAGATAACCTTGATCAGTGATGTTTTGTCAAGAGGTGTTGCTAGGCACAAATTTACCATTTGGGATCAGAGGACGAGATAGTGTGATGGGTGTGGTCACACCCACAAATTGACAGTGTTTGACTTGATCTCATATTCAAGTGTAAATTTGTTGTGGAGTAAGTTAATGGTTTCTGAAATGTCTAAAAAGTAAACAATCTCTTAGTTTTGCTCATTGCTTTATCACAAAAACTATTCCATTTTCTATCAGCATTATTTAACTTGTGGTTATTGAGTATACTACAATGTATAACGATGTTAAATGTGTAACTCAACAAGCTAAGGTAGTTTTCAATGCAATAATGTTCATGTGATTCATGTTCTTTTCAATATCATGTCTTTTTAGGACAAATAAATGTACATTTAAATATAAATTTTGCCATCATTAAGTTTCCTTGTTAACAGTATGTAAAATAAAATAATTAAAAAATATATAGTTGTGTTGGGTTGTGCATGGGTTAATAGAATTTGTGCAGAAGTGTCCTAACTGGGTTCTGGATGGGTTTCCAGTCCTTGCCATCCCAAGCTTCTGCCAGTGGTCTTCATTGAGGGGCGGTGGGGTAGCCTAGTGGTTAAAGCGTTGGCTCGTCACGCCGTAGACCCGGGTTCGATTCCCCACATGGGCACAATGTGTTAAGCCCATTTCTGGTGTCCCCCGCCGTGATATTGCTGGAATATTGCTAAAAGCAGCGTAAAACTAAACTCAGTCAGTCAGTGGTCTTCATTGAAATTTCAGTAAGAGGCAACTAACAAGATCGGGTGGTCAGACTCACTGACTTGGATGACATGTCACACATATCCCAATTGTGTACATCGATGCTTATGCTGTTTATCACTGGATTGAGGGGCTCAAACTCAAGTATTCACATACTGCCGCCATAAAGCTGAATTTAGCTGAAGCTTTAAAAAACAAACAAGCAAACAAAAAAAACCCATTAAATTCCACAGGTTGGTAGGTACCCGCATATCACTGTGTGATGTGATACTGATGCATGTCATTCTTCATCAGGTAATGAAATGAGGCCAGGTATAATGCCAGAAAGTCAAATGAACTGGTACTGAAACAAGAGTGATGGTAGCAAGACTATGAAATACTGCTAAAGCAAGCTCACTGGCCATAGTACTTTACTTTCCATCTTGCAGGAACCAGGCTCGATTTGTTAGTTAATAATATTCAGGGGCGGATACAGCTTTTCAAGAAAGAGGGGTGTGGGGGTGCACATTTCATTTTCACCCACCCTTTGGATACGCCTATGACTATTGACTACACTGGGATAAGTGTCTGAATGTTTAAAAAACCTGAAATGACCTGGATGAGTGAGTTAGTTGAATTTGATGCTGCTTTCAGTAGTACATGTATTCCAGTTATGTCAGCACATGAAGTAACAATTATTCTGGTCTTATATCATTTTTTTTCATAAATATTTTTATTATCAGAATAATAGAAATGATGTCACTGAGAATGATGATTATAAATAAAACTTTGATAGTTTGGCTTTATCAACTTAGCAGTTAAATTTTGGCACAGTGAGTGAATGAGTATGGTTTTATGCCACTTTTAGCAACATTCCAGCAATTTGATGTCCAGGGACACCTGGACCCATATGATCAATCAAACCCATGGCAACGGTGTAGCCTAGTGGTTAAAGCGTTCACTTCTCACACCGAAGACCCGGGTTAAATTCCCCACATGGGTACAATGTGTGAAGCCCATTTTTGGTGTCCCCTGCAGTGATATTGCTGGAATATTGCTAAAAGCGGTGTAAACCTCACTCACTCACTTTGGCTTTGGTGTGATGAGTGAATGCTTTAACCAAGGTGATTTACCCTAAAAAGGCCCTGATTTTACAAGAAACTAATATAAAATCAAAATACCTTGCAATGACAATGGGTGTTAATCTCCATCACGAACAAATCCTTCCCAGTGCAGCAATGTAGCTAAGAGTTATCTCCCTCTGATGGTTGGTCCGACATTTGTCCAACCTGGTGTGTATTCAACTACTTATTATCCCCCGCCGCGCATTTAGCGCTAAGCAGGGGATATAGTATTAGGCTCCGTCCGTCCGTCCAACGGAACGAATCGGAATATCTTAAGAACCGTTGGCTTTCACATTTGGTACCTAGGTTCATCACAGTATAAGTATAAGAAAGGTCCCAGTCAGGTTTGGTGACCTTCACCTTTTCAAGGTCACAAGGGGACTTAACGTTTTACTCTTGTCAGCGAGATATCTCAAGAACCGTTCACTAGATTTTCTTCATATTCAACACCAAGCTTTATCTAGGGAAGGCGCAGGGCCCAGTCAAATTTGGTGACCTTCACATAATTTTCAAGGTCATGGTGACACTTTGACGATTTCAGCATGTTAACCTGCATGTTAAGCTATCTTAAGAACCGTTCACTGGATTTTCTTCATATTCAACACCAAGCTTTGTCTAGGGAAGGCGCAGGGCCCAGTCTATTTTGGTGACCCTCACATAATTTTCAAGGTCATGGTGACACTTTGAAGATTTAAGCATATTAACCTGCATGTTATGCTTGTCAGCGAGATACCTCAAGAACCATTCACTGGATTTTCTTCATATTTGACATCAAGCTTTATCCAGGGAAGGCGCAGGGCCCTGTCGATTTTGGTGACCTTCACTTAATTTTCAAGGTCACAACGACACTTTGAAGATTTCAGTATGTTAAATTGCATGTAAGGAAAGTCAGCAAAATATCGCCAAAAAACATTCACTGGATTGTTTTCATATTTGACACCAAGCTTCATCTAATGAAGGCACAGGGCCCAGTCTATTTTGGTGACCTTCACATAATTTTCAAGGTCACTGCGACACTTTGAAGATTTCAGCATGTTAACCTGAATTCACTGGATTTTCTTCATAGACTTTCAAGACTTCCCTTGAATGTTTTTCAATAAGCAATTTCTTTAGTACCATTTTTGCACATTTTTATACACTATGACATTCATGTCAAAGTCAAAGTCAGTCTTGAAAATATTTGTGGGCTTGAACAACTAAAGAGAAGATATCAAGAGAGGTTGACTGGTCATGTTTTTGTTGACATTTAACTTCATCTAAAACTTTCATTACTTTTTAAGTTTGTTTAATTTGCGGCGGGGGATTATGTCACCTTAGTGACAATGCTTGTGTTTGATATGTGTTTCTATAGTTCCTTAAAATCATTGATTGGGCCTTAAAAAGACCCTAAAAAGGGCTTAGATGTAATGGCTGATAAAATGCATAAACCCTGTTAACAACTTGGCTTCCCCACTGTTCTGGTACTGAATGCGGTCCGTGGGACTGGAACTGTACAGTCCATGAGGTGAGGTGAGGTGAAATTGGGTTTTACGTCGTGCTTGAGAATATTTCGCTCATATGACGACGTGCATGCGAGTGTATGTGTATGTGTATGTGTGGCTGCTTGTACTAGCCCAGACTGAAGCTGGTTTTATAGTGCTAGCCCACTGAGATACCATGCCGCAGTGAAGCATGAATACCCCACTCAGACACAGTATACTGACTCCGAGCCGACCAGTCCTTGTTGTACCCATTAATGCCGAGCGCCAGGCAGGGACCAACAAGTACCATATTTTAACGTCTTTTGGTATGACGCGGTCGGGGATCGAACCCGCGACCTTCCGCTCTCCGGGCGGACGCTCTAACCACTACACCACGGAGGCGGTTGTACAATGCATGAAGAAACAAAGGTGCATCCTGTAGTACTATTTTACTGTCCATCCACAGAGCAACAAACAAGTTCACACGTTGATCACATCTTTATTTGTTGCAAAAAAATACTGCAAAACAAAAGAATCTTTGCTACATTAAAGTTTGCTGCAAGAGCTAAAAATCTACATAAAATAATATTTGTATTGTACACCATATAACAAGAATTAAATAAAAAATATCAATAACAATTCTAAAATATCCAACATGAATGCTTGCAATAAAATAGACTAGCTGAATCTCTATACTGTAACATGAAGCATATCACAAAGTTTCAACAATGATTCCTAACATGCAAATACTCTGTAACTATGACACTGTGTTGAAGGACTGAACAACATCCTTTATGTAGTTGTAAAGCCCTAAGTGATGACGGACGAACATTTACCACGCTGGTGAAACCTATGAACATAGGTATGGTGATCATATACCTTGATACATAATCCTGACGAACCAGAACTTCAACTAAATATCATCAGGTTAGCTGAAACCCACTTTGTGAAATCCATGAACATAGGTATGGTGATCATATACCTTGATACATAATCCTGACGATCCAGAACTTCAACCAAGTATCATTGGTCTCAATTCTGCACCATGAATTGTGGTGCCTGACATAACAATGACACCCATCCCTAGCTCCTAATTTTCAAAGACACACGTTCATTTACCACAGCAACTTCATACAGAATTCCCTGTTTAGATGAAAGAGCAATGCTTGCAATACAGTTATACCTTAAATAAATGTTTCATATGTCATATCTAAAGCACAGATTCTAGTATTTGTTTTGGGTTGAGTCCCATCTGGGATTTGAACCCACACTCGCAGAGAAAGGCACCTAATTGCCAGCACACAAAGTCTGTGATCTAACCCACTCAGCCGCCGCTAGTTCTGACAACTGGTAGTCTAGATCATTTACATTATCTGTCTGAAAGTGTAAATTGGTATTCAATTTTACCAGCTTTATAACAGTACATGGAGACAGCAATCACCAGTACACAGAATAAATACAATAGGTTTAAACAAAAGTCGCAACACATGTCATCACACCAGTGTAATGCTTGAAATGCCTACTGTATTATTTCTCCTTTCCATTTAAGAAATACAGCTTCAAGTTGATCCCGTGCGATACTATAAATAGATGTACAATCAAATTTCATGGTTGAAACAAGTGGCGACATCACCTGGGCTCAACTTACCTTGAAAAGTCTCATTTCTAATACATCTGAAGACCTCTCACAGCATAGGATTTCCATCCCCCTAGCTTAACACTAAGGAAAACAATTTACAACAAAAAGTTCAAACATGACAGTCTTCTGGCTTGATTAAATACAATGAATGCTCACTTGCATGAGGCTGTAATTTTGATTATAGATATATGCTCATGTTTACAATGGACACATTAACTGGTTGTTTATTTCTACATCATGAGAGACATGAAATTCTGTGCAAGGCTTGGTGGGGGTGGGTCAAGTGTACACAGTGGGCGAAATAGTTTCCAAATTTTGTTAGTCAGTCGGGCTAGCTATGCCTGAAAGTTACTAGCCCACAAAATAATTAATTGCCCGAAATTTGAATGTAGACACAGGTTTCATCATTAAGCTGCTAATATGATGAACGTTTTTATCAGGCCATAATCTTGCATGATTTAAAAGTGTATTATAGCTTAACAAGTCAGAGAGACTGATATATTTACAAAATGACCCCATGAAAATACACTCAGCCAGTCAGGCCAGTGACTGTGGATATTTACTGGCCTGACTGGATTTTTACTAGCCACGGGCTAGCGGGCCAGTGGCTATTTCGCACAGTGAGTGTAGATATCATGACAGTATGGTGGAAGTCACACTGGACAATCATGATTGTGCCAAATGATTGTGTCTGCCAACATCAGAGCATCATCATTTTCTTTTAAATAAGGGCAAGAGCTGAGGGATTGGCACTGTCACAATAGACGTATCATGGATGATATGGGATACCTTTCAACAGCTACTTTTATCACAGCTTGTAAAATGTCACTAAAGCAACAAGCAATGCATATTGTACACAATAAGAATCATGGATGCATATGATCACTACCATTAGGATAAACTTGGAGCAGAAGATCCTGATAACCTAAGGGACACAACTCCAACCTTTTCCTATGTCACATTAGTTGTCAAGGCTGATATGTATGTCATAACTTTGACCTATTTTTTAAACTGACATTAAACATCAATGCCTTTTATCAGCCTTATTAAGAAACCACTATATATACATTGTGGTGCCTTACTGTGTTCTGTATGTTAGCAGCCATTCAAAATGGTCTACCAAACAGACTTGTACATCAGACTTGTTTGTGGCTATGGTCACAGACTAATCAAAAATAGTCAAAGATGACATTTTTGATTACAAAACATGATTGTCTGGAAGATGAGAAAACCAGAGCATATCTCTTATCATTCAGTGTCCATCTCATGTTATCATCTGCCACTACTAGTCCAGGGTCCCAATCCACAAAATGGTTGTAGCGCTACATCACTTTAGGATTAACTAAAGAGTTACAACAGTTCATAACTTTATGAAGGCTTGTGGATCGGGACCCAGACTCAGCTTCCCATTGAAAGTTTTCTCATCATGCCTAGCTTCCCCAGCCCCTTGGGTCCTACTCTGCAGGGGCCTGACTGGGGGGTGGCGCTGGCTTGTGATGGGCCTGACTGGGGGGTGGCGCTGGCTTGTGATGCTGCAGGATCCACTTGGCGATCATGTCCAGCCCATGTCCAGTCTTGGCACTCATCTCGAGGACGGAGATCTTGGGGCAGTGAGTGAGGATGTCCTGTAGTCGGAACATTGACTCCAGCTCCCCATGGCTCATCACAGTCGGCAGGTCGCTGCAAGCAGAGGTCCGCCATAGCATTAGACTGCTCTTCATACATAACCACCTACTGTCTGCTCAGGTCTTCGATTAGGTGATACAATGTGTATATCTGTTGCAGTACAGGTGACATATTTCTGAGGTCTTCATAAGTGATATAACGTTTATACATATCTGATGTAATATATGTTTGTATTGTTGATTGGTGACATAAAACAACATTAACACAATCACCTTCTGTCTGCTACAGTCTTCGATTAGGTGATACAATGTGTATATCTGTTGCAATATAGGTAACATACTGGTGACATGAAACCTCTGTGTCTAAGGGTCTTCGTTTGTCAGTTACAATAACTATCGTGCATAGCTGACTGGTGATATAAGACAACAATCATACTCACATGCTGTCTGCTGAGGTCTTCACATATGCGAAACAATATGCACCCTGAAGATCTGGGTTCAAATTGATCTTCAGTAACCCATGCTTGTCGTATGAGGCGACTAACGGGATCGGGTGGTCAGACTCACTGACTTGGTTGACACATGCCATCGTATCCCAATTACGTAGATAGATGCCCATGCTATTCATCACTGGATTATCAGGTCCACACTCGATTATTTACAGACTGCCACCATATAACTGGAATATTGCTGAGTGTGGCGTAAAACTAAACTCACTCACTGACACATTGTGTATATCTGTCTGATGACTGGTGTGTAAAACATCCTATCACTCCTTAAAACTCCAGTGTATTAAATCTCCATTCTGTTATACTCAGGACCCATTTGTTGCAACTGCTCCGTTTTAAAAGTGATGTTACAATATATACCTCGTTAAAAATAAAGATTACCTAAATCCATTAACTAGATACCTACGTCTTATTGAGGATGAGAAGGACAGGTAGACCCTGGGTGTCTGCGTGGGAAAGCACCATCAACAACTGTATACAGGAGGCAGCAATCTGGAACCGGTTTGTCAAGTCCACCATGTACTGGAATGAGATCACATAGTTGAGAATCATACTGAAGAACAATCTGGAACTGGTTTGTCAAGTCCACCATGTACTGGAATGAGATCACATAGTTGAGAATCATACTGAAGAACAATCTGGAACTGGTTTGTCAAGTCCACCATGTACTGGAATGAGATCACATAGTTGAGAATCATACTGAAGAACAATCTGGAACTGGTTTGTGAGGTCCACCATGTACTGGAATCAGATCAGACTACAGAATCATTAACACAGCAGTCTGGAATAGGTTTATCAGGTGCACCATGTACAGGTATTAGATAAAACTGTAGAGAATCATTTTACACAACAACCTCAAACTGGTTTATTAGGTTGACTATATACTGGAATCAGATTACACTGCAGAGAAGACTGAGACAGCAATCTTGAAGCTATTCTGAAAAGCATTTGTAAGGAAACATTCGGTAACTTACGTGACAACTACTTAAATTGCATGTTTAGGCTGTTATAGTTTCCCACTCAAATGGTTTTAGCACAAGCTGTTGAAAAGAACTGAATCTATTGCATAAATTCCCTGCAAATTCCAATTTGCGAAACAGTTGTACGTCTAAGTAAAACTTACACCTCTACATCACATCACCCTACGTGCACCATCTTACTGTCAGTCCCAACTCCAGACAATCTGTCAACCAGATTTGACTTACAATAATGGAGCCAGCATCCTTGAAGTAATTATGCCAGATGGGGACCATAGATCCTCCAAGTTCTCTGAGTGTGATCTCATCTCGTCGCCCAAGTGTCACTGTGGTCAAGTTTGTTCCTACCTGAAATATTGAGTAATTATTGATATCTTCCTTCAACCAGTTAACAGTGTTCAAAATATATCATGAAACTAAAGGGATCCTTCTCATAACCTTAAAGAAATGACAAGTGTTATTGGGTTTCTAGATTAAGATATTATAACTGACTGACTGACTGACTGAGTTTGGTTTTACGCCGCTTTTAGCAATATTCCAGCAACATCACGGCAGGGGACACCAGAAATGGGCTTAACACATTGTACCCATGTGGGGATTCGAACCCGGGTCTTCAGCGTGACGAGCCAACGCTTTGACCACTAGGCTACCCCACCGGCCCGATATTATAACAGCACAGTTAAGGGCCACAGAGTCCCCCTTAAACATGTTACCATAGAAAAATGTGTTCACTCATTACTAAGAGAAGAGAATTATGCAGAGAAGTAACGTGTCTTGTTTTCTAATCTTAATGGAATACATATGTTGTTGTTTTTTTACTTTTGTTGGACCAAACATCAAAATATACTGTAGTTCAAAATTAGTAAATGTGTTATTCCATCAAGCTATGATTTCACTGTCACCAAAACAAGCCATGATTTAATGGTTATCATTAGTATAATGATAACACATAAATTCTATTGTTATACTTTTGATGATTAACAAAATATATACTGGACATATTTGTAATGGACTGCATCTGTACTTACTGTTGGTATTGTCATGGGCGCTATGTCAGTCTCTGTTGTGGCCTTTGTGGGGTAATCTACACAACACTAAGGAAAATGCTCATTTGGACATTTGGAACTGTATATGAGATTCACAAACAGTGCCCTATTATGAATGACTGTGAATGTTTAGTGAAAAAGCTGCAAGAAATAGGAATGAAACGAGAACATACACTTTTCTCAATACCACTCAAACAAGTTATGAAATATTTCAGTTGGTGCACCGCAGATTGTTGTGTTCTCAATGGCTACAACTCTGATAATTCCATCAGAACATACACTTTTGTTTAATAACACTGCTCCAACTATAGGATAGCTGTCTGCAAATATTCAAGTCCGGACCAGACAACCCAGTGAGTGGTATTATGTGCAACACCCTACATCATCGTGGTTAGTCCAGCATATAACTAGACGACTTTGCACTATATCAAGGTGTTAGCTGGAATACAAGTTTATTCATATGAACTACATCGTGGAAAGATGACATGAAATCAACCTGGTCACCAAAACCCATGGGTTGCTGGGGACCTAACTCACAATCCCAACTGAACTTGTTTACTGTGGCCATGACACGATAAGGTAATTCTATTTTTCGGGCTATGGATCTGTGAAGTTTGCAATTTTACAACTTAGGGAACTCACATGTATGGCATCCTGTGACCCTGGTTAGTGTCATAACCGTGTGGCTGTGTAAGTAGCCAAAGTAGAATATATGAAATTCTGAATATAATTATTAAAACAAATTGGCTTGAAATCTCACCGACCAGCATAGCTGGCTGGGAATAATGAAGTATAGACTAACAACTAGTCTCTGAAATGAACATATTTTAAAGAAAAAAGCTCATAGTTAAAAAAGTAAAGAGCCCTGAGACTTTCTTCATTTTCAGAAGCTGTGGAAATCTAGACTTGCCACATTTGTGAGGGCTTTCTGTGATATATTTTGCTTCAGGGTCTGTATGACTGACAAAATGAAGTATTAAAGGATACTTTGTAACCTCTTTAGTAGAAGAGTTTTTCCAACACCCGATGAACCAATGAGTAGGCACATGACTAGCAACTTAACAAATTATTTGGAATAAATGTGAAAACATAGTAAATCCAGGTGACAAGTTCAGCGAGGCCTTCTCATCACTTCGGAATATTTGATACCGGATGTTTACATCAACCTCGCTTGCGGAAAGAACAAAAAATGTTTTTTTAGTTAACACCTGATTTTACTGAATACGTGAACTGTACATAGTTAGTGACTTGATGTATTAGACATTTTTAAATAATAAATTGGAATTAAAAGAAAAAAAAATTGTACAGCTTATAAGCATGTGTAAAGCTCCGAACAGTGGTTCTAGATTTGTAATAGATCTGAAACGGGAACAGCGGAAGGTAGCGCGCGCTGACAAGGAGTGTAGAAGTGACCTTAAACAAATAATGCATCCCTAAAAACTACTTCAAGTTATTTCTGTATACTGGTTTTACTAAGAAACTTTTGCCTAAAAGTACAAATTCAACTGAACTTTTCTTATTTAAAGAAGCACTATCATTTATCTGATATAGTGATTTAATAAAATATATTTTTCACTCGAGGTTGGACTAATGAATTATGAACTATATGGTCTGTGCTTTCGTCTTCTTCTTCTTTTTCCTTATGTTAAAGAACAACACTATAACAACCTTTAAAACTATGTAAATACAAAGACGACATGCATGCTCCAGTGAAAGAGTTAGTTCTGGTTATATTTAGGGGGTTCTTGGGATTGCCGATGTACTAATTCTCTATGGTAACAAAATATTGTGATTTTGGTTACGAAATCACTTACCTGAATTCTCTTACACCTCTAACCTGTCGTAACAGTTCATAGGAAACACAGAATGTATTAATATTGGAACTGAATGATAATAATAAAAACATCGTCAAAGTATTCAATATTTTCCCATATACTTAAGCAACAATTGTCTTTATTTATACAAGAATAGGATTTGTTGAGTGTTCCACAGTGCAAGACACATTTTCAACTTCTAGAATGACAATCAAAGAAGTCAATCGTCGTCGACGTGGCAGTCACAACCAGCAACACTTGCTTGACAGCGACATTAGAATCTCGTGATCTATGTCGAAACGTCGCCTGTACAGAATGAAGAAGTTGTATCCACAAAAATTGTCCTCATTCTACATTTTCATCGGTTGTGCAAAAAGTTGGCAAAATGTTCTTTTGGGAGTGTCTACGAATTCTCCATGGTTACGAATTTACACCGCTTCGGACTGTTTTCCTTCTTCTGTTTCAGTTCACATCACACGGGAGGAATCCCAACTGATGCAGGTCCAATGTATACTCATTCATCACAAACTCGTAGGAAACAGATCAAATGAATGCCGTTGCGAAATGCTCATACTTATGAGGACTACGCTTGGGGAAAATAATAGTCAAGTAAGTTTGAATTGCTTTTGAATTAGTCATGTGTTCTATTCCTCAATATCATGTGCATAATAACCCAGCCCTATTCACTTGAACACCCTTCACATATCTCATAAAATTTGCGTTTAACAGCGTATGGTTTTTATACATACTGCTATTCACTATTTCCCCCTATTTCAGTAAGCGTGGGTGTACGTGCGTGTTTGTCTCTGTGTCTGTGTGAACATGTAGCAAGCACAGTCCAAATTGTGCTCGTTTACGTTACCATTTCTGTATAGAAATGTGTCAGTAAATATTGTTATTAACAGAGGCCTTTCAGTGCCGTCCTAAATAAAATAGGTAGTAGGAAGATAGTATATACTGCAGCTGACCAGACAGACACAGATGACAGTGAGTCAGTGAAGATTATTTCACGGAAACAAGATGTTCAGCAGCAAATCGGCAACTTTCGATCGAGCTCTTGGTAAGAATTGTTTAATTTGAACAATTTTCTTGATCACTAGTTTTTGTATAATTGATTCAGCTAGTTCACTCTTCGACAGAAGCCTTCTGGGCCTATTATCATGTTGAATAATGTTATTATTATTTCCGCCACCTCTTCCTGTGTTGCGTATCACAAATGCTTAAAGAGTCGTAGTAAATATGATTGCTCAGTTTATCATTTCAACTATTAAAATTGTTTAACCTACACCAGACATGTTTTTTTCTTGAAGAAGGTGTTTATTATCAACCAGAAATGTCATTGTCATGATCAAAACTCGTTGCTGTTGAGAATATTAGAACTCATTAAGAGCTGTTAATTCAGTCAGAGACCATATACCGATATATGGTCTCTGATCCAGTATACACCCAGCACTGTGATATGTCTTTTCACTGATCTTAGAATAAGTTGAAAACAACTCTATGTCCTATGTCTGAAGTGGTTGATATGTCATTGATATACCTGACTGACTCGGGTAAAACAAAGAGCTCTTCCATGTCAAGCGAGTGTAGGCCTATGCCTGCAGTGAAGGTCCATGAAACAATACCAAGACTGAGAATATGACCCTCACAAATCTACATGGAAACCAGTGACAAATTGATAGTGTGATGATTCTAGTTTTTTTGGTAACACTACAACAACGACTCAAGAGAAATATTCATTCTGAAATTTCTGGAAGAAAATTGACGTTTTAACTAATTACATTGTTGTGTGTTATATGTTGTTATGATGACACTGTAAGCGTTCGACAAATGACTGTATCATCAGCTCTGGAAAAAAAGTTATGTTTATTCAAACATCAAAATCTTTTCTATCTTCATAACAAATACATGACATATGTACATATCTTTCATATTTGTGTCGCCAATGTATTAGATCATCTTGAACTTATTATATTCCATTCTTTTCCAAAGAAAATCATGTTTTGTAATAGCTTGGTCTGAACACTGACTCCAAGTTATAGATAGTAATGTATTTGGGGCCAAGAATATGTGTGATTTTGGTTGCTGTTGTTTTACGTTATTCTTTTTAGGTAAAGTTTATGCAGACCTTCTGTTTGTTGCAGTATTTTAAAAATGTTTTCAGTATCCTGAAACCCCTTGAGCATTTTGAAAAATAGCACTTCATTTACATGTTTTTTAGTGACAGGTTAGAAACCATGATCTATTCATTCTTGCAGAAAAAGCTACAAGCCAGTTGCTTTTAGAGCCAGACTGGGACTCCATATTGCAGCTATGTGATTCAGTCAGACAGGCAGATGTTACGTAAGAATATTTCTTTTATTTGGCAATTGGTATCTTATATCAAGGGCAATTGCCGTGGGAAGGGCAGAAATAGTCTACAGTGAACATGGTGAACTGTGGATGAGTGGACAGGAATGTATTATTTTTTCAGCGTCCTATCTGGTTATTAAAATGAATATTTCTTTCTGTTATTACAGCTGTTAAATTCTAATACATAGAGTGGTAAAGTGGAACATACCTTTCTTAAAGCCCTTCACTTAATTATTTTCTGCTTTTTTGATTTAAACATGGTTATTGTATATTGTTATTGTATATATAAATTATGCTCATGACAAGAAAAGGAGTCTGAACCTGTAAAAGTATTCTCGTTGGATATATGTTATTGAAATCAACAAAATAAATGGAAAGTAGGAAGTGTGTCATCCTGGAATGATATATCTGGATCCTTGCTGTGTGTTATATCTGTGTTTGTTTTCACTCACAGTCCAAAGTATTCTGTACTTGCAATAAGGAAGAAGATCCAGTTTGACAATCCACATGTGTCCTTGTTTGCTCTACAGGTAACTATAGCAACAGAATCTGTTAAAATGGTTAATACGGCAGGTTTAGAAATTCATTGTGGTCTGTGACTAACAAATATAGCCGAGGACTGTAATATGGCAACTGATGCTCTTTCCCGATGTCCAGTAACATAGTCTTGAGTAATTTTTATCACAAATGTTTACTGTTGTGATATTTTTGCTTAGATTACCAGAATAAAAGTTAGCCAGTCCCTTTGCTTATGATACTGTGATGCTAAGAATATCAATATGCAGTAGACCAATTATTTATTGGATATTTTTCAGTTATTTTTGAAAGGTGGGAATGCATTTGTTCATGATGCAAGGGGATTTATGGCTTTCTTATAATAATGTTTGATTTTAGGTATGCTCAAACTTGTTATAATAGGTAACAATTTAGATAGGATGATCGAGTTCAGTAACATTATTTTTTTGTTTTCGTATCACTGGCCACAGTGTTGGGCATTGCCAATTATATCAATGACTGGTTTGGTCCAGGGTATGTTATTCGCATGGTGGTATTACCGATATTGCTGAAATTGTTGACTGTTAAATAAGCAAAATAATATGAAAATCAGTGTTAAATGAATTTATTTTTGTATTTAGGTCCTGGAGTCTTGTATGAAGAACTGTGGTTCACTTATACATGGAGAAGTGGCCACCAAAGAGTTCATGGAATTCATGAAGGACCAAGCTAAGGTGACAACTTGTATTTCTAAACAAATGAAACAGCCCATTTGTGTTAAACTGATAAATGCTTCAGTATATATATGGTGATGTTTTGCTGGCTTTTACTTTTAATGATCTTAGTGCTGTAAAGTGAAATAGTCACATATCCATCTGGAACTTTATCCACTGGTCTAAAGCTCTTGTCTTGTGAACTGTCCTGTTGTCTAGTAAGATCACCTTGTAGAAGTCCATATACCAATGTTTATTATGTTTTTGTTGTTACAGACAAGAAACGACCCAGTGAAGGCCAAGATTTTAGAGATGGTTCAGGTGTGGTCCCATGCATTTCGTAATGAGCCCAGCTACAAAGTAGTGCAGGACACATTTCATCTCATGAAGATGGAAGGTTAGTCACTAATCTAATCCATATGTAGTCAGGGAAATGAGATTGCAGATTTGGAAAATCAAGTTTCTCTTCATAAATCTTGAAATGGCATGGTCAAGTAACTAGTTACTATACTTTTCTCATGGTATAATTACAATCGAATGGTTCCAATGATTTACTGTGTCTTGGTCCTGGTGACAAGTTCCTTATAATTGAGATTGACTGTGTAGTGGTACTGGTTAAGAGCTCCAAATTAATGAGATTGACCTTGTCATGGTCCAGGTTACAAGTTTCCCACGCTGAAGGAGGCAGATGCCATGTTTGCTGCAGAGAAAGCTCCAGAATGGAAGGATAGTGATGTGTGTACCCGATGCAGGGTGGCTTTTGGCATGGTGCAGAGAAAGGTAGGTCTGATAGACGAAGGTGTGCTTGACAAACCCCTGATTGTCAGGGGAGGTATGTGAAACAATCCCTGTTGGTTGGGGAAAGGTAGGTGAGACAAGCCCATGTAGGTCGGGGGAATGTATGTGACACAAGCCCATGTTGGTCGGGGGAATGTATGTGAGATAAGACCCGTGAGGTAGGTACTTGAGACAAGCCCCTATTGGTTAGGGGGAAGCTATGTAAAACAACCCCCATTGGCCATGGGAAATTATGTGAGGCAAGTCCCTTTTAGTCGGGGGAATGTATGTGAGACTAGCCCTTGTTCATTTGGGAAGGTATGAAGACAAGCCCCTTTGGGCATGGGGAAGGTGGGGGATAAGCTTGTGTGGGCCTGCGGAAGTTGTGTGAAACAATCACCGGTTGGTCATGTTGAAAGTATGTGAGAATAGCCCGTTTTCATGAAAGGAAGGAACACTTTTTTAATCAGTATATACACCATTTTCACTGATAAATCTCTCTGTCTCCTGCCTTTGAGGTCCTATGTCAAAATTTGAATTAAATGGCCAACATGAGGAAAATATATGTACAGGTATGCACTTCTCTCTCTTGATTCGACACTGAGTGGAACGATGTAAACTTTTTTCCCTTGGCCTCTCTTGTCCATCCGCCCAAGCACTCCATGCTACCCTCATTATAAGACAGCTTCCTAGTTGTCATGCAAAGCATGCGGCATGCACCACTAGCTACCCAAGTGACTATCTCTGAATCATCATTCTCTTTCTTGTCACACTTGAGTGTGAACATACTTTGCTTTGCTCAACGTTTTCAACTTAGTCTACAACATGGGGAAAGCTGACCAGCCAAAAAAAAAGAGGAAAAAATGCTCCTGGTGTAATAAAGTGTTCTCCGTGAGTGATCCACATGCGTATTGTGTTGACTGTGTGGGACTCTCGTTGCGATAAATGCAAGGATCTTACCTTAGAGGCGTTTGGTGACTACACTCGGGCTTGCGCTCGTGTTGCTGACAGAGCTCATTATGCCGCTTCACTTGACGGACCCAGTCCCTCCAAGAAAGGAAAGTTTAAGCGTCCTACTTTGTCTGCTCGGCGGTCACAGTTCCCTCCCTCGAATGAAGGGGATTTCATGAGAGCGTCATCAGATTCTTACTCATCAGAAGACCTTCGGAATTTGTTGGGCTCTCAACATTCCAGCCCGAGTCCTTCGTCTTCGACCACGTCCCGGGTAGTGGTTGTCGAGACTGCTACCACCCCTCAGGATACCTCTACACAGCGGGACCCTCGAACTACGCTCTCTGTCTCTCGTTCTCCGGACCAGTTATCTCAGCAACCTGGCTTATCTGTTTCGGACAAGAATCAGCTGATCTCTACGCCTGACTGCGCAGAAGCCGTTCTCGCTCTCATCGTTCATCCAGTAGTGAGAGGAACCAGTCTACCTCGCCTCAACGCCTGTCAGTGGTTACTTCGCCGTCTCCTTCCCATTCGGTGAAAAGAAGTGTTTTTTCTTGCGTCAAGCTTCGCCGAAGCCTGCCAGTTCGAATCACAGTTTGCCGGATCACGCTTCGCCTGTCTGCTCCCCTCCACCTCGACTTTCGCCGGACTGTCCACCTTCCCCAGAATTAGACTGGCTCTCTACGAAACAGCTTTCGCAGAACCGGTCTTCATCGAAACACCAGTCTAAGCTTCAGCATTCTCCGGATTGATCGTCTGCTAAACAGACTTCACCTAATCGAACTTCGTCGAAACAACGTTCGCCGAAACGGAAGACTTCACTGAGACGGCATGTGGTGAATCGACTTTCGCCGAAACGGCCTTCTTCCAAGCGGTATTCAGCGGAATGCCTCTCTCTGGATCAGCTGAGTACTTCCCCTAACTCTGTTGGATCCAACAGACACATCTCCTCAGCACGAACGTGGCTTTCACTGAGTCGTCTGGATCAGTCTCCTATTATTATTTGGATTTGTTCACCGGATAGACCTGGTAGGTCTACTTCACCGCCTGAGACGCCACTCTTCGACTCGTTCGCATTCAACTAAGCACACGTCTCCCTCTGCTTCGTTGAGATTGGTTCTTCATTCCAAGTCACCTCCTCGGACTACGTCTTCTCATCATTATGGGACTTCCGGTTCTGCGCACTCGACCCGTCAACCTAGATCTCCTACACGGTTGACTGCTGCCTATCGTTCAAGATCCAGGGATCGTCGTTATCGTTGCAATATCTCCCCTCCTCGCTCCCGTTCTCCTCAGCGGGTCTCAATTTGTGCATCCTCTCCCGGTTCGTCCCCCTCCAGACATAGATATGGTTCTACGGATAGACAATCTAATCAACAGGGTTCCGAGCTTCGATCTGAGCGTGGCACGACTTCTGACGGGACTGCTGCCTCTTCGCGTCTCTCTACTTGGATTGTGCCAGATTCCTGGACTCCTGTGCAGGAAGCTACTCCTCCCCCAGATCTGGCTGCGATGTTAAGTGCTCTTACTACTGCTTGGAATCAACAACAGGCTGCTCACTGTTACGGCGCCTAGTCCTGGTGTTCCACCTGATCCTACATCTCCAGCACATTCGGTTGTGGATTCCCCACGGGGAAGTTTGGACTTTGTAGATGAACCTCAAGTTTTAGCTTGGATAGTGGAGAAACTCCACCTCCCTATGTCACAGAACCCGGAGGATTTAACTCATTCCTTCTCCATGAGTCAACGAGACTTGACGTCTATTACCTTCCCATCACAGCCTTGTATTGCTCATCTAACTAGGTCCTTGGATCATGCCTTTTGAAGCCTTAAAAGGATTAAGGATGGCCTGTCTTCGCCTAGATTTTCCATACCGGCGGCTCACTCCCATGGTTTCCAGTCATTTGGCTACTGCCCCTTCGGTGGATGAAGATTTCCAAACACTATGCGGGAAGAGGACTTGTTCAGCCTTTCTAGTTGAGGACAGAGAACTGTCTCACATGGACACAGCTATTCGTCACTCCTTACCCTCGATCAATTGCATCAATTCGGCGGTGGACGCGTTTGCGGCATTAGTGGAGCTCTCTTTCACCGATCAGGATGCTTACATCAGGGGCTGTATGTCCCTTATACTGGACCAATTTCAGATCGTACTTGACCAGCAGTCTCATTTTCTTGGTTATCTCCAGGCAGTTCGACGTTGCGGCCCGCTCAGTTTGTCTTCATGGGATGACAGGTTTAAGGCTGAACTCTTCCGTCAACCGTGGTCTGCAGAATCCTTGTTTAATGTCATGATTGGGGAAGTTTCGGCGAAGGTGGATCGGGACACTCAATTTCAAGTTTCGGTGGAATTATTGAAACTCCAGAAATGTCATCTGCAAGTTTCCATGATACAGAGAAGGCCTCAATGGTTCGTGCCGTCTCATCCGGAACTGTGTCAGGGTTTTCATGGCCATTCGTCCCGAGCTAGAGGTAGCAGGTCCTCCCATGGCACTTCTTCCCGACGTCCTCCCAAGTCCGACCCCAGGGTTGGGAGTGGGGCCCCAAACAGTGACTCCCACCTCCAGCCGTCCCCATTTACGACTCTCCAGTGGGTGGGGAACTAGGGAGGTTCGCTCCCAACTGGACGATACTAGACGATCCTTTCATGACCGACCTCCTCGCCAAAGGCTATCAACTTCCAGTCATCGGACACCCGTCGCTGACAGTGCATCAAGTACATCGCAGCTACCCGGCGGACCAGGTCCAGTTTCTTCACTCCACCATAGGTACGTTCATAGAGAAATGTGCAGTCCAATCTCTCGGTCCGGCGCCCAGCACTCGGGGATTCTATTCCCCCATCTATCTGATTCCCAAGAAAAACTCCTTGAAACTAAGACTCATTTTCAACATTTCAATGCCCACCATCTTCAGCGCCCACCTCATTTCCGGATGGTATCGATCGTCCTTCTTCGCACCATCCTAAAGAAAGGGGGATTTTCTTGTCAGCCTAGACCTTCAAGATGCTTACCTTGCCTTTTGGAATTTTCACGTCCCCTTGGCTATTTACCAGGATCACCAAGCCAATCACCAGGTTTCTTCATCTCTATGGGGTCGTGTTCGAAAGTTACATAGACGACTGCATTCAGGCACAGAGAACCCAGTCGTTCTTCTACGTCAGTTGGAGTTCAGTAGTTCAGTACAAAGCTTCTCTGGCAACTAGGTTGGTTGTTAAATGCTGAGAAGTCAGAACTAACACCGAACCAGACCCTTCAATTCATCGGAGCAACTTTCGACACGCACCCGGGCCTGACTTCGTAGATGGCTGAAACTTCAACGGCTTGTTCCGTTAGCACTGTCGCAGGCCAGGACCTTATGACAGTGGCAGGATATTTTGGGCCTCTTGACATCGGCACAGGCATTGACACGGTGGGGACAATTGCAACCGCGTCCGTTGCAGCGTTTCCTGCATATGTATCTCGTCTCAGAACCGAACCGTCTTCCCGAACCCTTACGTCCTTTTCTTCAGTGGTGGCTTGTAGAACAGAACGTTTGCGCTGGAGTTTGTTTGATGCCGTTCATTCCAACACACCACTTGTTCGTTGATGCGTCGCTCAAAGGTTGGGGGGCTCACTTTCTTCATCATCAGACGGCCGGGCTGTGGTCGGGGCAGAAAAGGACTTGCACATCAACAAACTCGAGTTCTTGTTGGTTCTTCTCGCCATTTGACATTGGGCGACGGAACCTCGGGGGTCCTCCCTGCTGATTCAAACAGACAGCTCCACGGTCGCCGGGTACATTGACCAGGTTCAGGTTCCAAACCTTCTTCAGCTGGCGTTTCGGTTCTTCCATCTGATCGATGCTCGAGCCAGACACATTCCCGGAGTCAGGAATGTCATTGCAGATGTGCTGTCCCGCTCAGATCGGCCGTCTCCCACGGAGTGGCAATTGAACCCACAGCTCTTTCGGGAACTGGTCTTCAAATTATCAAGGCCCCAAGTCGACCTATTAGCCACGCGGTTCAAACCATCAGCTCCCGCAGTTTGTCTCGCCGATACCAGACCAACTAGCGTGGGATCTCGATGCTCTGGCGATTTTGTGGGGGGGACTCAACGCTCACGCCTTTCCCCCTCCGGCTCTTCTACCCAGAGTCATCCAGAAACTCCGGGCAACCAGGCAGATTCTACTGCTTTTGGTTGCGCCTTACTGGCCAGTCAGGAGTTGGTTTGTCGATCTCGCACAGCTCGCAGACCTAAACCCAGTTCCTCTTCCCGATCGGGACAACCTACTGTTACACCCTCACTCAGATCGGTGGCATGTATCCCTTCGCACCCTGTCTCTGCAAGTTTGGCGCATCTGCAGAAGTGCTTAATCGCCAAGGGGTATTCTCGGAGAGTGGCTATGGCCATCACTTCTGCTCATCGGACTTCCACCCGCTCACTTTATGATGAGAAGTGGAAATGTTTTGAGAGATATTGCACGTCCAGAGGCATTACATCTCCCGTTTCTACTTCGCCTCAAATCGTCGCTGAGTTTCTTCAGCATTTGTGGTTGTCTAAGAAGCTCAAGGGTTCCACTTTGGCCACTTACCTTGCTGCGATCAACTCGGTCCTGGCTACCACCACAGGCTCTAAGGTCTCGAGGGTTCCTGAGCTTCAGTATTTGCTCCGGTCCTTCAAGTTGGCCGATCAGTCTAAGAAGTTTAGACCTCCTGCATGGGATTATCTGTGGTCCTGCATCATTTGGCCTCTGCGGACTATGAACCCCTAGCTCAGAAGGACTTTGAGAAGATCTCCTTCAAGACCTTCTTCCTTGTGGCCTTAGCTACAGCTGCTCGGATTTCTGAACTCATGCTTTGGACGTTAACAGAGTCCAGTTCGAACGGAAGAAGCATGGCAAAGTCTTTCTCGGTCTCCGTTGGGATTTCGTAGCGAAGAATCAGTTGCCGGGACAACCTGATCATACTTTTACCATCCCACCGTTGTCCACAATCCTTGGGCCATATGACAATGAAGACCTGCAGCTTTGCCCTGTTAGGGCTTTGAAGATTTTTCTTGCTGCTTCTAAAGATTGCCGCCGTCTCCGCAAGCGCCTCTTCATTCCGTTGTCCTCAACATCCAGGGCGGAAGTGTCTCGCACCACATTATCCTTGTGGATGAGAGCCACCATCCTACGGGCTTACACCTTCGCTGGGTTACCGGGCCCCGACAGCACATGAGACACGGCTGTTAGCATCTACAATGGCTCTGCATTGTAACTGCTCTCTCCACGCCATTATGGAAGGATGCTTCTGGCGATCTGACTCGGTCTTCTCCTCGCACTACCTTCGTGACCTCTCAGTCAAGGATGTCCAAGACCTGTACCAGTTTGGACCCCTTGTTCTCGCACAACAGCTGTCTACGGCCAACCAACGCAGATAGGGAATGCTGCTTCCCTGTATTTTCCTGAATATAAGTCTGAACTTGATGTCTGCCTTATGTTTTAATCGCGTATGGGTTAGAACTACTTCACTTAGTTTTATACTAAGACACGGAGATACTACCGCCTCGGTGGTTGGACGAATCTGGAGCTCGATTCTGTTTCATGATGTGGAAGGGTTTGACATGTCACGTTTCCTGACCTCTACTTTTCCGAAGTAATTACGTCAGTGAAGTGTGTCACTCCCGAATTCCAGTGGATTTCATTGCGTTCCGACTCCGAAGTTGCCAGGCTCATCCTTTGACTAAGCTTATGTAAAGGAGTGAGGGTCAATTTGATGTTGACTGGAACTGAACGTTAAAACTCTGAGTTTTCCGAGTTGTGCTTCTCTTTCACCCGCCCCTGGTCGGTGTCTGTGGGGGCCTTCTCGAAGCAGGGGCTGGCCTGATTATTGTCTATGACTTTAATTTATGGGGGTACCTTGAAAATCTTGGCAAAGTGACATCCTTTCTGACTGAGCTGCGTCCTTCTTTGGAGGTTGCGGCCGAACACCACATCGCTCGGGAGCACCCATCTCCCTGGGAGACGTTGTGCTTAGTAAGCCAAGGAGTTCAGAGGAACTCTTCACAAGCATAGGAGTTGGGCTAGTCGTAACAGGCCTCCCTTGTGCATCGCTATCTACGGTTGTTTCCAGTCTACACAGTTCTACTGTTCGCACTGACAAGACACAGGGTATCTGCGTCCCGCCGATCCGACCGTGGGATAAGTGCATACCTTGAGATAGGATAAGTATATAAAATTGTATATTTATATACTTATCCTATCTCACGTGACGGATTCCTGCCCAACCTCCCCGCTATGCAGATTCTCCAAGATTGATATTCCAGTGGCTCCAAGAATAAGAATGATGATTCGGAGATAGTCACATGGGTAGCTAGTGGTGCATGCCGCATGCTTTGCATGACAACTAGGAAGCTGTCTTATAATGAGGGTAGCATGGAGTGCTTGGGCGGATGGACAAGAGAGGCCAAGGGAAAAAAGTTAACATCGTTCCACTCAGTGTCGAATCAAGAGAGAGAAGTGCATACCGTGAGATAGGATAAGTATATAAATATACAATTTATATTTAAAATTTCCAAATTTGCACCATAATGTGACAGGAGAGGAGATGGTAAATGATCTGCTGTAATCTACTCCTTTCACAAATACAATATGTTCAATTCAATGTCGTTTCACACCTTCTCTTCCATAGCACCATTGCCGTAACTGTGGGGAGGTATTCTGCAGCAAGTGCTCCTCAAAGAACTCTATCATACCAAGGTTTGGAATTGAACGTGAAGTACGAGTTTGTGATGCCTGCTTTGATAATCTCAACAAGTAAGTAAACCAATGTCTTGTTGCCAAATATTCTGATTTTATTTTGTGTGTGCATAAGCAGGATAAGGTCACAAAAAATGAAACAGTAAATATTCTGCTAAATCTTTCATATTGTAAAGTATTTGTCATGTATTTCTTCTAAATAAAATGTTTATGTTGTTTGTGTACGGAACTGTTGACAGATGTAATTCACATAAAGCTTGTCTTTCTTTGTTGAAGTATGGAATGAACATGAAAGTTTTCTAGGTCAATTGATATTTAGGGACAATCAAATGTAGTTGCTGTTCAGGTGGGTGGGACTGAAAAACTGATAATTAATATATGATGACATGAGTTTTGGCTGTGATATGAAATTTTTACAGATAATACCACAATGAATTAAAAATGAGGTTCTCATCAAAATGCTCTTCTGGAGTGATGGAGGTGATATTTGTTCTAATTGCTATTTGTAACCATCTTGAAACGAACAAATAGACATCACATTTATTGATGATTAAATGTGGCTTGCAATAAGTGTCTCGTAATAAATTCTCGTCTCCTTTAATAACTTTATGGCTTGTTACAGACCTTCAGCAAAAGCTGGCTCTGATGAACTGCCTGCTGAGTACCTGGCAAGTCCCCTTTCCAAACAGCCACAGGTATGGCAAGGCAGATGGACCCTTAAGTTGTAATAACTTGTACGACGATTAAGAGCTCTGAATGGAATACAGTGGACAGTATGTCATTTTGTAGTATTTAGAAATACATACATCTTGATCTTTTGCAGGGCCTTATTTTTACAGCAATGTAATTGTAATGGGAAAAAATGGAAATAAACAACATTAAATTCTATGTTTGTGGAATTTCTTTCAAGAAAAATTAATGTCTTTTGTCATCTCTTGAATTTTTCTTCACCAAGCAGAACCCACCTGTCAAGTCTGAGCAGGAACTTCAAGAGGAAGAAGAGTTGCAACTGGCACTTGCTCTGTCTAAGAGTGAACATGAAACCAAGGAGAAGGAGGTAAGAGTTGTCTCCCCTTATCAGGAAGCAAGTTGTGACAGGTGGCAGCATATTGTCAGTCTGCATGGGAGATGTCATTCACAGGAGGATAGTGAGTGATGTGTATAGACTGTTTGTATTTGTCTTTCTTGTGACTTACAGGATCTCATAATGGATGTACATATGACATGATCAGTAAAACTGGTAGGTTTTTGTCGTTGAGTCTCCTATTGTTTGATTTTGTTGACACCAGGCTCATATAAGTGACCAAAATCATGGTATTTGATGGAAGGCTTTTCACATAGGATTTAGTATCTCTATACTTTTGTATGGTTTGCCACATACCGTAAAGGAGTATATAGTATCAGACACAGGACATATCTGTGTTGGTAACAGAAAAGTAGGTCAGATCATATCTATTAATAGATCACATATCTTATTAATTTGCCATATGGCCTGTGTAGAAAGTATGACATGTTTGTTTCTATCAAGATAACAGTTTGAGTGTATAAATGCTGAATCATGATGTGTACATTACATTTGTGATCTCTTTACCTTTTGTAAAATGTTCACATCAGTCACTAAATTGTTCATTATTGAATTGAGTGGGATTGTTATGCATTGTAATCTTTACCCATGTCTATAAATACACCTAAATAAATGTTACATTTTGAGATGATGTGCATATTTTCCAGTCTAAAATAGATTTCTTTTCTATTCTGTGATATATCACATTAAAAAAGCCAATTCAGTTGATGAAATATATACACTACAGTCATTGTTTACATATGCATGATACAGGCCACCTTCAATATTTCAAGTATCTTTTATCATACACCTTCACCTGGAGATGGAGAGTTTAACTGTATTATTACAAATATTTTGTATGACTCAGTTGGTAGAGTGACACGGAACAGCGCACAATGTTGAATTGTTTTAATTCACTTGTAACTTCTGAACTGGGTAACAGGGGGGACAGAATTGTGACATCAGGGACAGAAAGTAACAGGAGGGACAACACATCTGGGAATAGAAAATGCAATCAATAAAAGTGATTTTTCTTTTTCTGACAGCAACAAATGAAACGAACTCAACTTTCTTATGAATTATGCATCTGTCTCAAATGTTGTTGTGACAAATGTCTGTACTTCAATTGAGATTTATTTGTAAGGTAACATGAGGTAAGCGGTCCCTCCTACCAGGTCTGCATCATGTTTCTGTCTGCAGTGTCCCCGCTTCTCAGTTTCTGAAAATATGGAACAGTCCATGCAAAGCAATCATATTACCCACAAATTCATACCTTTTAGTTTAAATTTATCTGATATTACACTGTGCTACACATTAGGATGAGAAACAAACTGATGCAACTGTGGTTTGGTTCAAGACACAAATATTTCTCTTGCTGTGTGTTGAATGATGGGTAATCTCTTGCCAGTTTGAAATGGTCAAAATACTATTTGATTATAAAATATGATAATAATGATGATAATAATAATACATGTACATGTTTTTGTTGTCATGTGCATGTAATGACAGAATTATCTTCTGAAATTATTGAGTACAACTGAACATAGGGTGTACAAATGGTGTGACTTTAAATATATGTGCATTAATAATGACTGTTATTTTTATTGTTATGATATCTTGCATTAATAATGACTGTGGTGTTTGGTGTTTCAGAGGGAGCGTCTGCGCCATAACTACTCCCTGTACAGCGGTGATGAGAGATCCTCCTCCCCGCAGTCAGGGAAAAACACTCAGATGTCACAGCCAGCTGCGGTCAGTCATTTGCACCTTTGATTATGATCACACTATGTACCAGGGGTGGAAATAACATTAAAATTGCTAGTGTACTCTGGAACAGTGGCACATGTAAAATCACTTGCCCTGATAATTTTTCCACTATACCAGCCGTTTTTGAATTTTTAAAATAAACAACATAATTAACATTGGAAAGTCAACTGGACACTGGTACAGCGTGATATACAAATTTGCTTGCCCGACAGAAAAAAACACTGGACTCGGATGTCGGGCAATGGGTTATTTCCACCCCTGTGTACATTATTTGAAATCATATACAGTGGAAACCTGATAAGTAAAATTTCAAGGGACTCGCCAAATTTGTTTACTTATCAGGTATTTTACTTATCCAAACTTATAAAAACCTGCAAATGACAACCATATGCATATATATATGTATGCATATGTAACAATGGACCACTTATCAGGGCTGGCCTCCAGTTGTCAGTGTATTGTCAACTGCGTGCTGCCAGCGAGCTCTGGAGACTGACACGTGCCCCTCATGTCGGATTATGTGGTGATCACTAATTTGGTTTTCCAGTCTCTTGTTAAGTAATTTACTTCCAGGGACCGTGAGAAGACGTTTAGTTAAGCGGTATTGTTTACTTATCCGAGTTTAGTTAACCAAACTCTAATAGTGATAATTAAAAAAGAAATTTGCCGGGACCAAAGAAAAGTGTTTACTTATCAGGTCTGTTTAGTTAAGCGGTCTTTACCTAGGCGGTTTCCACTGTATATTTGCATTATGTAAGATGACAAAGCTGAAACCATTATATTGTTGTCACAATAATCAACTATTTCTAGGGCAAACTACATAGGATTCTTAATAATTGGTCTTGATGTCGGAATTTAATATTAAGGACAACTTTTTAAATTATCATTTTGTAATAGAATAAATAAATAAATGAGTACAGTGAAAATGCTGATGAGTGTGTATCATATGAATGCTGAAATGAAAACAATCACTGCAGAATAAATTATATGGGGTACACTTGCGGTGCAATCTAAGATTTGTTATGTATATGCACAGACTAATTTAGACTTGCTTAGAAACCAATGTTAGGTCACAAATCTGCAGCAAATGTCAGCATATATTCAAATTAGCAATGACACATTTCTTGTTCCTGCCTTGAAATACTAACTAATGGTATGGCGTTGAGTAAAGGCAGGGCCTTAAAGTGTAACCTACTGTTTAGGGAGTGAATTCCAATCATTCCTGCCTCTGTGGTGGACAGGTAAGGATTAGAGTTGGGAATACCTAACCCTAATCCTGATTTAATTCATAGCTAATTCACTTTCATACTGATTGTAGATATATGTTGTCAATTGATAAAAATATCCTATAATTTGATTAATTTAAGTTGCAAGAACGATTACAAATCTTACCATTTTTAGTGTTATATTGTTAAAATATTATTTAATCCAAGGCCAAAAACCCTTTTGAACAAAAAATTATTTTCCTGCCAGAGGAACATGGATAAATCCCTCATGTATCTGATTCTCTGTGTGTTAGTGTCAATATGAGAAGTTTGGAAGTTCAAGGAGAAGTCACTGTGAGCTTGGGCGCGAGCTTGGGTATGAAATGGGGGCGAGCTTGGGTGTGAGCTTGGGTGTGAGCTTGGGTGTGAGCTTGGTTACGTATATGAAGGGTCCATGTGGTAGTTAGTGAAGTTGGTGACTTATTTCACACATGGAAGCATGGAACTAACACCACACCTCCTGCAACAATAGAATACCCACACACCTATTGCAATATTGGAACAATCCATGTTGGGATAGATGAGCTTGGGAGCAGAACCTAGCTTGTGGCCATTGTTTTGTTGAAACAGTGAGATGTGTTTTACCATATTTAACTTAAAGTGAAACATGTTAACTATTTGTTTTAGCCAAACGGAGAATGTGTGTTATGTTTTACTTCAATTGTCCGAAGCTTTGAAGTTCGTATTTTCTCTTTACCTTATTTTGTCATGTAAGTTAAAGGTGACCATAACATTTCAGGCAGAGACACTTTATGGGTGAACTGTATTACATCTATTACATCATGTGCTAATGTACAAGGGGTTGTTATTTCATGTTTATATTTCTTTGAGGAATTAATATGTTATATTTTTAACTCACCAAACCTCATGGTAATGTGCATATTACCTTTGCTCTTCTGATACAAAGATTGGAAACGTGATCGATAAGTATCCTTGTTGAATGCTATCATGAAACTGGTGACGTGTCGATCTCGTCTGGCGAGCGGGAGCACGCCCCCAAATCCCCGTCATGTGACAACGAGAACACATCACTTTATCCTTCATGCCACGTTTACTGCAATCAGTGCAAGTCTCAGAAGTCGGCTAAAGACCCCCACCCTGCTTGCCCTGACTGTCTGGTCGACTCAGTGTGTACTTGGACCTCTCAGTGTTCGATTTGCTGGGACCTACCTTCCACCGACTTTAAAGCGTTCCTAGCTGCTCGGAACAAATGCTTTACTCAACGCAAGCGCCTTATGTCTTCTAACGACGCCTGTGAGACTGCTCAGGTTCCCTCGACACCTACGGCTCAGCTTGAGAACGCCTCTACGCCTTCAGCAGATCGGCGATCTACGACTTCTCCTCCCCGCCAGTCCTCATCTCCGGAACGCTCCAGAGCGAGCCTCCTCACGAAGGCCCAGATTGACAATCCAGTGAATCTATTCTTCAGGATCCCCGGCTCATGGATCTCCTGGTTGGTCTCCTTGAGAGGGAGGATCGCCAGATTGATAAGGAACTCCGTCGAACGTTGAAGCCCCTTTCCGTGCTTGCTTCGGCCACGGGGGCCATGTCTCAAGATCTCTCGGAGGATAACCCTTCCCGTTTAGATCATCTTACCACTATGTTCAGGTGGCAGGCAAGAGTACTGTCCGACGTGGTGGATCACGTTCATTCGGCCTTACTGCCACCACTGTGACTAAGAAAACTTGGTTACTAGCTCCCTGTGCCTGGCAGGATGAATTCAAGAAAAGACTGATGTGTGCCCCGTTTGCGGCTCCCACCTTATTCTCGGATAAGATCCTGGATGTTTTCTCAGAGCGTGCCTCCCAAACCCAAACTGAGATTGCGCTCCGATCTTTTCACCACTTTGTCAGCGCCAGCTTAGGGACCACCAACCTCTACCAGTCCAGGAGGATGTCGGTTCGTGGAGCCTTTAGAGGGCATGGCAGGGGACGTCCCAACAACTTCCAACGTTGTCCTGCCGGTAACCAAAAGGACTTGGGCAAGACCGGCAAACCCAAGTACAAGCGCTGCTGATGTTCTGGGTGGCCACGCCTGGGAGCTCCCGCCCCCAGTCGTCCATATCTGCGATATACCTGTAGGCGGGAGACTCGAGAAGCATTAGTGGACCGTTAGTGGACCTCTTCGCAACAAAGCACAACCATCAACTTCCGGTCTACGTGTCTCCCCTTCCGGATCCTGCCGCTTGGGCAGTGGACGACCTGTCCTTCTCGTGGGAAGGTCTAGACGCCTACGCATTTCCTCCTACAGTACTTCTTGCCAAGGTCGTAGCCAAGCTCAAGGAGACCAAGCGGATGATTCTGCTTTTGGTTGCACCTTGGATGGCAGGCGAGAACCTGGTTCCTCAAACTACATCGGCACGCCGAAGGAGATCCTCAACTGCTACCACAATGGCCGCACCTTCTACGGCATCCTCACAGCCGGCTGTTGCACCCAGATCCGGACAGGTTTCATCTATGCGTTTGGGCCATCTTCAGAAAGCACTGAGATCCAAGGGTTATTCGGCTGGTGTGGCCAGATCATCGCCCGTGCTCACAGAGTGTCCACCCGCAGCCTGTACGATGACAAATGTTCTTCGTTTGAGAAGTTTTGTGCTGACTGCTCCAAGAATCCAGTTAAAGCTTCTCAATTTATTGTGGAATTCCTCCTCTACCTACGCAATACTCGTCATCTGAAGGGTGGTACGATTTGTACTTATTTGGCAGCCCTCAATTCAGTGCTGGTAGTCAAGACTGATAGGAAGGTCTCCAAGATTCCTGAACTTCTGGCCATGCTGAAAGCTTTTAAGTTGGAGGATCAGAAGTCGAAGTTCCGCCTTCCAGCATGGGATCTCAACGTGGTTTTACAACACCTTCGTGGGTGTCCTAATGAGCCTTTGTCTGAGGCCTCCTTTGGGACTTGTCCAGGAAAACAGTCTTTCTCCTGGCTCTTGCTACTGCGGCCAGAGTTGGTGAGCTTCACGCCATAGACGTCACCAGGATTCGGTTTGAACAGGCTCGTCACGGTTCCGTCCATTTGGGTCTTCTCTAGGACTTCATTGCCAAGAACCAGTTGCCAACCGGATCATTTGTTTGTCATCCCTCGTTTGTCTTCTATAGTGGGCAGTGATGAGACCGATGAACTTGGGTTGTGTCCCGTCAGGGCCCTAAAAGAGTACATCAAGCAGTCGGCAGTCAGGAGACACACCAGGAAACGCCTGTTTATTCCTTTTTCTTCTGCGTCGAAGGGTGAGGTCAACAGGAATACCATCGCTTTGTGGCTTTGCTCGACTATCCTCGCATCTTACGACTCTGCTGATTTGCCTAGCCCTACCGCCAACAACCCGCATGAGATCTGGGCTTAGCGTCCACCATGGCCCTGCACAGAAACTGCTCGGTCCCCACTATGATGGACGGGATCTGGCAGTCGAGGATGTGAAGGGCCCGCTCATGGTAGCTCAGCAACTGACGCGGTCTTCTCACTAGGTGATAATCCTTTTTTAATCACCTTAGTGGTTGTCTTAAGGTTAACACACGTTCTCTCGTGTTGTGTTTCCTTATCAGTTCCAGCTCTACAACAAGACTGTGCTGTGCTGTGTTGGTCTGATAGTTTTGGCTGGTCCTCGCCAGTGTCCGACCCTCCTGCCTTACTGTCGGATCAACATGCACATTACCATGAGGTAAGGTAAGTTACCACATGACGGGATTGGGGGACGTGCTTCCGCTCGCCAGGCGAGATCGACACGTCACTAGTTTCATGATAGCATTCAACAAGGATACTTATCGATCACGTTTCCAATCTTTGTATCGGATGAGCAAAGGTAATATGCACATTACCATGAGGTAAGGTAAGTATTTAAATATCTAAAATATTTAGATTTTAATAAATTGAATTAAGTCTGACATTTTAACATGTCAGAAGTCTCTATTTAGAAAAGAGTATATGGTACATTGTCTCTATCACAGCTATTGCATTACTGAGCAGCTGTACAAATATCTGCATACAATTCATTTGGTTGTATCTTCCAGGCTGTGACCACCATTGACACGAGTGACATGGACCCTGAGTTGGCTAGGTACCTCAACAGGAACTACTGGCAGCAGAAGTCTGAGCATCAGAATGTAATATCGACTACCACACCCTCTGCTCCTGTAGTTACCACTGAGCCCAAGACATCAACAGTTAAGACACAGGAGGTAAATGTAAGAACCTGTTGACACATCTCAATCTTGAAAAATGGCATTATTTACTTTGTCATTTTATCGAGTCCTTATTAAGGTTTTTGTTCAGTAACCATTCACAGTCACCTTTTGAGATTATTGTGGGATTTGCATGGAAGAATTGGTCCGAAGTAACCAGTGTTTGCCATCGAGTGGTCAGGACCTGACTTGGCTGATAGTGATTGTTGCTCATTCTTTCAGTCACTTGTTTTCCTGCTACAGACTTTTAGCAGGTCTCTGTGATACAATAGTAATGGTGGTAACTGTAGCACAAAGTGACATTTCCTCGAACACTTGTAGGCGATAGAGATTGCTGTTAGCTGACCGTATTTGACAGGAGAAGATTGTACTGTTTGTTATTGATGCTAGTACCTGTATTTATCCCCTTATCAAATGTCTTTATTCCATTACTGAAGAGGCCACAGGCCTATAGTACAAAATATAAAAACAATAATGGCATACAATCACAATGTTTGCAAACGTTATTTTCTTTGTTCAAAAGCATGGTGGATATACATATCAAGTTTACGAATATAAGTTGTATTATTAGAGTTCATTATCAAATTAAATTTAAACATGGTAGGATGTGAATAGTAATATTGTGGTAGATATTTTGTCCTTAAATCAGCATAGTAAGGACATACCAGCAAAAAGTGTGACTCATCTTCAATTACATTTAGTGCACAAAATTTGCACAATCTGTTTTCTCTTGGAATATTATAATATCTGCCCTTCTCGATCATAAGATCATGTGAAGAGCATCTAAATCTGGATAATGAAACATGGAATTTTCTAAGATTAATATTGTGTAGGTATTGCTCTGTATGGAAAAAAGATTTAAAAGTACTGTAAAAAGTGGATTTGGGCGACTGTATTAAAGATGAGTTCTACTTATCATCGAACCATTTTGTGTTTCTGCCACAAGTCTCTTCAATCTGAATTCAGGGTAGACACCATTGCTCATAACAGATAAATCTGCACAATTTTGACAAGTGGAAAGAGCTAGTATTTGACTAATGGACTAGTCCCATGTATATCAGTGTGCATCAAATTAAACTGTTGTGTTACAGCAAATACAGACGTACCCACCCTACCAGAATGGTGAAACAGATGAGGATCAGGCACAGTTTCTCAATGCCCTCAACAGCAGCATTGAGATTTTCGTCAATCGAATGCGCAGTAACTCACAACGTGGTCGCAGCATTGCCAATGACTCATCAGTACAGTCATTGTTTGCTGTTATAAGCAACATGCACCCTCAACTAATGAAGTACATCCAGGAGCAAGAGGACCTTCGAAGTAAGGATGGATCATCAAGATGCTTGTGTAGATTGTGTAATTATAGTGTCGTGGCAAGGTCTTTTTGGGTTGACCAAAATGTGTATGGTGCATGGATTGCTAAATCAGGTTATAGGTCATACAAATACCTATTGACCCGTGAAGGTCTGGGTTAGAATCTTCAGTTACCCATGCTTGTCGTAAGAGGCGACTAACAGGATCGGGTGGTCATGCTCGCTGACTTGGTTGATACATGTCATCGGTTCCCAATTGCGCAGATTGATGCTCGTGCTGTTGATCACTGGATCATCTGGTCCAGACTCAATTATTTACAGACCGCCCCCATATAGCTGGAATATTGCTGAGTGTGGCGTAGATCTAAACTCACTATCACAATACCTATCACCAGCCCTGAAAGATTTTGTTTCAAGTTATCAAGCCTTGTCACATTTCTACGAAAGATTTGTGCAGATACTTTTTCTATTTTAGCTGTTGCTCATGCTTTAACAATGCCATTTTGAAAAATGGGAAAAAGCGTATGTTTATCACTCTTCCCTGTGATGGAGATTTATTAGCTGTGGTAAGATACAATCTCATCCCTGTGAGAATGTTTTCATGGTGTGCTAGTTGTTTGACATGTTTAATGGACAGTTTCCACTGTACATGTATATGTTTGCACTGAGTGGTCCATTATGATTCTGAACTGAACCCATGACACTGACTATACCAACACTATGTGCAGGTCATTATGAAAGCCTTCAGGACAAACTTGCTCAGCTACGAGATGCCCGTGAGGCCCTGGATGCCCTGCGTGAGGAACATCGTGAGAAGCGTCGGCGTGAGATGGAGGAGCTGGAGCGTCAGAGGCAGATACAGATGGCCCAGAAGCTGGAGATCATGAGACAGAAAAAACATGTAAGTTAGCTCAGTGTTAATTACAAGAATCTAATTTTGGTGGTCTTTAAACACTTCTGGTGTGAGACTGTTTCAGTGGTCGAGTGTCATCACATGACCTGACCAAGTTGATATTTTCATGAGTGATGCAGCCAGGAGATGAGTTTGATGTTACTTTGATAAATGCTGTAGTTTTCCTATTGGTTTTCATGATCTTTGAAACCGAAATGTGTTAAAGAGGCAGATCTAAATTAGCTCTGGGTGAAAAATAATTTATATCTTTTAGATAAATCTATAGTTCATCATATCCATAAGAAACACCAATTATTTCCCTGAAAAAACTTGCTGGATTGTATTGATTTCAGGAATATCTAGAGATGCAGCGACAGTTGGCATTACAGCGCCTGCAGGAGCAGGAACGAGAGATGCAGATGCGTTTTGAGCAGCAGAAACACCTGACCCAGATGAGGCAGATGCAGGCATACGGCTACCCCCAGGGCATGCCACAACAGGTAGGGGCATGGTTGCCAGTGATGTTCTTTCCAGGATGAATTACACTTACTTCATGATTATTTGGTTATTAGTAATAAAATGTTTGGCTGGTTTACCTCTGAAATAATCACTTTCAGGACCAACTGCAGCAATTACACTGGCTTTCAGTTATGTACAGAAATGACAGTGATTTTCATGAAGTATGAATGCAGCTATGTGAATTTTCACAACAGAGAAAATGTTGATAATGTTTTAACAGTTGATCAGCTGTGAATTCCCTGTGTAATCTTCTTACAACTAAGTAAATTATCAAATAACTTGATTCTGGACTGTTCCAGATGTATGGTCAGATGCCTCCACAGGGTGTCCCAGGCCAGATGCCACCCCAAGGAATGCCACCTCAAGGGCCCCCTCATCTGCAACAACAGGGCCCACCTCATGGTTTCAGCCCTGTGGGGTCAACAGAAGGCTCTCCAGTCCACCAAACTGGGGGCTACAACCAACAGGGTCCCAATATGATTCCACCCGGTGGTGGAGCCCCATCTGCTCAAGGAATGTACATGCCCCCTAACACTCAACAAACATACACCCAAGCAGGGCCTCCCAACATAGGATATGCCCCACCACAGGCCAGCATGGCAGGGGGTGGGGCAAATTTACCTGGGGGAGGGGCAACAATTCCTGGGGGCTACCAAGCCCATTTACCTTCTCAGACGCAGACAGACGGCAGTCAAATGGCAGGTCCGCCCCAGGGTAATTTTGGGGCAGGTCCAGGTGGAGTAGGATACCCGGATCAGGCTCCCTCCAGTATGCCCCCACAGATGCCAGCCTCAGGGGGGCAACAAGCACCTGCTGCCCCGGGCTACGCATCAATGCAACCTAATATGGAATACAACACTTTCAACATGCAGAGTGAGTATGCTTCATGTTGTGAAAGAAGTTATGTCACTTTGTAAAGACAAACTATTGAAAACACAACTGAGTATATAATTGGAAGACATTTTAAGTGTAAAACACACTGTGGCTGTTTTTCCATATAATAGTTATAAGAATTACAAAACTGATTTGACAAATATGGCAGTACACAAATTTGTTTTGAACTGAAAAAAATCCATATCAATTTATGTTATGTGTCCTACATACTGGCCAGGATTATTCACCTGAACAATTTGTAAACCCAAAACTATGAAAGTCTAACCATATGTTCCTGTTCTGTATAACTTTCCCTGGGTAGAATAGGTCCCTAGCATTCCATGGAAAATAACTACTGTAAACGTATTATATATCTCGCAGGTTATATTTTCGCGCAAAATATTTTACTGCAAAAATTTATACACAGCGAATAAACCCACGCTCACCTCTGAGTTGTTACCATAACACATCAAGTTTGAAGACAGAAATCTACGGGAATCTTAAAATGACGACTGATAGTAGCATAAAGAATCATACTTAACTGTCGCTGTAATGGATTTCCCAAATCATGTCCTCACATGTTCTATTTTGACCAATCGTAGTGACAGATGGTTTGATACAAAACGGATTACCATGAAACGACTCAGAAAGAAATAATACAGCAGTATTTATTCATTAAGATTGTATTTATATTTATTCCTGCATATCACGAAATGAAATCACAAAAAGCTTCGTGTACGGTAGAAGTTCATTTCCTTGATAGTCAATTTCGCAATGCCATCGTCAGATTGTCAGAATTTGGAACATAAGACAGATGTGTTTTTCATCTCTTTATATTTGCATCACGATATCTCACTTCCTAAGTACTTAATACTTCCGTCAGTAAACGTATTACTGTATATATATCGCGCAGGTAGGGATTTCCTGTGAGTAGTGGCGGCCTAAGAGACAGCTGGCAGTTCCTGCAATTACTGATTGCGCGATTAATTGACCGACGTGATTAATTGACCGCGTGATGTAGTCTAAACTGTCAAATTTGCACCAAGTGAAATTTGCACCAAGCGAAAAAAAGTATGTTTACAGTACTTCATACTCCGTTATTTTGTTAATGCATTGGTATTGTTTGATCCCAATTGTAGATGGAATGCCTTCTGTTCCAGACATGTCAGGAGCCCTTCCCCCTCAGAACCAAGCTGTTTACAACAACCCCCAGCAACAATACATGGGACCTCCTCCCAACCAGGGACAGTTCCAGGGGGGTGCCCCTCCACAGCAGATGCCCCCACAGAACCAGCCACCTACCCATCAGGAGAATGAGGCGTCACTGATATCTTTTGATTAATGTATTTGTTTCACTTGTGACATGAATTGTTTGTCTTTATGGTGATAATGGATGTGTTTTAATCAGATGAAACAAAGGCCGACCATTTATAAGTATCTGTATGTTTCATTGTTGCTTAATGGTTTTGTAAAATTTGGAGCTATTTAACAAAAGTCATAATTTTAATGTGTGCAGAGTGTTTGCCTCTACAAGCAGTAGGACAGTAGATCTGTTATGGTAGCAAGTCCGATCACTGAGAAAGCTACCAGTTTGTTTCCTTGTTTTATGGATAAGAGTTTTTGGGGCAGTGATTTAGCCTAGTGGTTAAACCAATCGCTCATCACATCGAAGGCCTGGGTTTGATTCCCCACATGAGTACAATGTGTGAAGCCCATTCTTCGTGTCCCCTGACGTGATATTGCTGGAATTAAAACCCAACTCACTCTGAGTTTCCACATGTGGAATATCCTTTCATTTCAATTTCAAGCAAAGGAATATATCTCAGTTTGATCAGTATATATATGGTGGGGACTCCACCTTTTTCTTTCTGAATTTTGATGGAAAGGTAGTGTTGACAGATGTTGACTACTGTCAATGAAGTCTTCACGTTTGCTAAATCATGTTAAAGTTATGACTGTTTGTAAAATGATCTGATTTTTTGTTATATGATAATCATACTTTGTCAGAGCTGAGATATGTAAAAACAACGAGCCCTATACTTGAATGGCTTGTACACACTATGTTCCGTGATCACCCTTGCATGTATTTGGAGACTATGTGGTGTAGTATTATTTTCTGATCAGTGGATCAAGCCTGAGTCTACGTTCAAGCAAGATGCTAGGGAGTGCACTGGCCAATGAGGGTTCAGGTTACAGCACATTAATGGCAGTATTTCTTGCATGACAGTGTGTAACACATGGCTATAACAGTCATCTGCTCCACGAATTCTTTCAGTGTTTCTTAGTTTGTTAAGGTTCATGAGTAGATCTCATTGACTACCATGAATTGCACACAGTTTGGTTTGATTCACTGACTGAAACTAGACATGTCACCAATACACCTTAAAGCATCAATGTTTTTATGGCTATGGATGAACATAATGTTTACAAGCCTTGGAAGTGACAACGGAGCCCCACATACAGTGATATACTCTGATAATTTTTATATAGCTTCACTCTCAAAATTATTTCAGCAATAACCATGATACCAGATGAGTAATGTTCACAGAACATAATTATACAGTATAATTTGTGCATATATACAATGTGATCACACCTATCTTATGGGACTTTTCGTCAAGAATATGAAATCAAGATCTTTTTAACTTACTATCTGCTGTTGATAGACTGAAATTGTGCAATAATCATTTCAAATCTTCACCATGATGATCTAATCAAATCATGTGATAGAGAATGTGACATGTATCTTCTAGTAGGTTGTGTGGTATTCTGAAGACTTCTCTGATGTTTTAGTGGTATTTTGTTATTGAGCTCCATCATAACTGCTTGTTGCAACATCATCTAAAGAGAAATTAATGTATGCACCGGTGTCACACTGAATGTAGAATCCGCTTATTGTAATTATTGATGAAAATATTCTTGAAGCGATTCCTCCCATGTTCATCTCCGATCCTTGTTTGAATACGCTCACTACTTGTGACTGCTTGTCTTGTCAGCAGGTGTGGCTCAGTATAACTATATATACTGAACATCATTGAAAACACACCACTTATAAAAGTTCAGAGTATTAAAAGCATGTGTAAGGAATTAATATTTTTTGAATGGATAATAACAGATGAACGACTGACAAAAACAACACAGAAAAGACGCTCATTCTTTGAAATGTTCCACAGTCAGAAAGGATCAAACACACGTGGGGTCAAATCGAAAAGTCAATATCGCGTGTGACCGCCATTTGCATTGACACATGCAGTTCAACGTCTCCTCATTGAGTCAATAAGCATCCGAATAGAGTTCTTGAGGATGGCATTCTACTTCTGCAGTAGTGCAGCCTCAAGTTCCCGGATGTTTCGCATCTGTTGTCCCGCGAAAGACTTTGACCAATTTCGTCCCACAAGTGCTCCATGGAGCCCTGTAGCGTGTAGACGGCGTGGCATGGAGTCAGCACTGATGACCCCCACATCAATGTTGAACTAGTTCAATCACTGATATGGACAAGGTCAATATGGCAATCCTGATGGAGCATCGTAACACGTTGTTGCCAAGGTCATTGAAGGTCACGGGTGCTGCCTGTCAACTGATGTCGTCTATGGTGGAGTGGCCAAGTCCAAGTTGTCGAGCAATATCCCTGCTGCTGGTGCCAACCTGAATCATGCCTAGTGCACGTTCTCTTTCGTGAGGTGTTAACCTCGGCATCTCTGTCCTCGTTTCACAATCGTTAGTGAAGCAATGAGAATCGTTCTCATACACCTGCTTTTCATGTCACAGTCAGTATGATTTCAGAATGAAATTCTCGTTTTTTTCATGGCATGGGTGCATGTTGATGCATTTTGGAATTAAGAGTCATACTGTGGACAGGAATTTGTTTCTAAAGCATTTTTTCAACTGGACATGCCCTTCGACTTCATGTTAGTTATATTCATTGATCATTGTCATGCTGAAATCCATCTTGATGAAAATATGGACAATTTTAGACTGGTGCGTTTTCAATGATGTTCAGTATATTAATGAACTACTCACTGTTGCTGATGACTGTATTTGCATCTGGAGTTGACTGTCCATACTACTACATTGAAGCATGTACTTGGTAATAAAGCCATAATATATTGGTTGGATCTTCTGTTGTGAACTATTTAAGTTCAGGTATATAACATGTACAAGGGTGGTGGGGTAGCCTAGTGGTTACAGCATTTGCTCATCACGCTGAAGACCCGGGTTTGATTTCCCACATAGGTACAATGTGTGAAGCACATTCCTGATGCTCCCCGCCGTGATATTGCATGGATATTGCTCATAGCTGTGTGAAACCATACTCACTCACTAATACATATACAGATACAGGGGTGGAAATAACTTTAAAATTGCTAGTGTACTCCAGTACAGTGGCACATGTAAAATCACTTGCCCTGATAATTTTTCCACTATACCGGCTGATTTTCCTGTTCATTTTTTAAATAAGCAACATAGTTAACATTGGAAAGTCAACTGGACACCGGTACAGCGTGATATACAAATTTGCTTGCCCGACAGAGAAAAACACTGGACTGGGATGTTGGGCAATAGGTTATTTCCACCCCGAAATAAACGACTACCTCATTCTATACATACATTAAACTATGGTGATTATAAAATCAACTGGACCACTAATTTTGGTGAGGTTATGCACATTTCAATTAAAATATGGAGCAAGAGTTTGTGACCATCTGAAAAAAAATCAATAAAAGAAATCAGTTGATTTTATCCATCAGTTCCTTGTTAAAAAAAAAAAATAGTTCATATACTAAATGTTGACATACATGTAATAACTCCTGCTAAAAGCAAATGGGTTTATGGGCCCACTAGTAGCCTTAGAAATTGCAACTTTGACCCGAGGACTGGTGGAAACATCATTTCACTAATCTTCAGAGTGTGTAGCACTGGAATGAGACAGAAATGTTTTCTGTGTTTATTTTCTCTGACAGTTACATTTAATTCCAATTTGTGGGGCGGTGGGGTATCCTAGTGGTTAAAACGTTCGCTCATCATGCTGAAGACCCTGGTTCGATTCCCCACATGGGTAGAATGTATGAAGCCCATTTCTGGTGTCCCCCGCTGTGATATTGCTGGAATACGGCTAAAAGCGGCATAAAACCAAAACTTACTCACTAATTCCAATTTGTAGAAAAATTAAAACATTGAGAACAGGTTTATGATCGGAGCCCTTAAATGCCACTTGACAGTCTATGTCCTCAGCATAAGGTTGTGGTTGTGGGGTTGCAGACTATTGAGAATGAGTTGATGAGTAGTCTTGGAGATTGTTAGTAAATACATGCTTGGTAATTCCATCATTTCAACTTATCAATCATTGGAATGAATTTTCCAATGGTCTTTATTCAGTAAAACTAGACCACACTTGAACAAAGCACAAGTACTTACACCAGCTTTATTTTTCAAAACTGACTTTAATCTATCTAACTCCACTTTTATCTCAAATTAATAAGTTATGAATATATCCCAAGAAACAAAACTATTGTGGGTTGAGAGAGGGGTTCAAACTTGTTTGTGTTTGTTCATTGAAATCTGCATTCTACCAGTCAATCATAAGACCAAATGTTTAGTATTCTGCATTAAGCAGTTGAGTTTTCACAGAGAGTAGGCACAAGGGTCATTTGCTTGTCTGGACTTGGCATTGCACTGGAGTTGGAGGTAACAGACTGATACTAAGAACAGCTAGGTGGTCAAATAGTGTTGAAACATTAGCTCAGCTTCTGATTTCATTTTTAGCAATATCATGCAAGATGAAACAAGTACTGTCACTTTTAAAGAATTTTCTGATGTACATTATATCTCTGAAGGACTGATGCTAATTTTTACAACAAATGTTAAACATCACCGTTTCAGTAATCACATTATGCCAATGTTTGTCTGACAAATGTTCACACATCAAACATCAGTTTCGAGTCCTCAAAATGCTGGCTAAATGATAATCAAGAATAGGGGTTGTATTTCCTCCCAAAACTTGTAAAACGTCAGGTGCAGCATCATAAGTATACTGACGACATTAGACATGCACCACACTAAAATGCACCGACGATGCTCAGATATCATGGGTACATTTCAGTTTGACGGGGATATTTCGTATTATATGGGTGGTGCGTTTCTAATGTTGTTCAGTATATTTGAAACAATGGTTACAATGTTGTCATACACAAGGAGTTGACGCGTAGCCTGGTGGTGAATGCGTTTGCCCTTCACGCTGAAGACCCATGTTCGATTCCCCACATGGGTGCAATGTGTGAAGCCCATTTCTGGTGTTCCCCACCGTGATATTGCTGGAATATTGCTAAAAGCGGTGTAAAACCATACTCACTCACTGTCATGCACAACCATGTGGTTTTGAGTTATGAAAATATGCTTGCTGACTTGAGTAGTCCTAGTTTCTTCAATGCCCCACTAACAAAATTCCAGTCATATGAGGTCAGTCTATAAATAATCTGGGCCATGAAGTCCTTTGATATCAAGAGGAGTGATCTACAGGATACTGTGATAGAGGTGCATGTGTTATCCAAGTCTGCATGCCTGGCGACCTGATCCTGTTTGTTCCCATAATTCTACAACTAAGGGTTCCTCTAACCCAGCTTTCTTTGCTATGTCATGATCGAGTTAGACTTTGTTGTCTCCACTGTATAGCCTGATAGAATCTTTCTTAATGGAATGCAAAATATGTTTAATGTTTGAAGGGATAAAGCTGCCTCTTTCTGATATAATTAATACCATATGAGAAATTGATACATTTTCCTAATAACTAGGGTAATCATTAACTGCTATTTTTTGTATGTCATAAGATTTGAAATTCCATACCAAGTGTTTCAATAAAATGTGTTGGACCTGTCAGATAGCCTGAGACTAATTATACTTACACATCCTGTCAATCACTTAAGATATTTAATGGTGATAAGACCCAGTACAGTCATGTTTCCATTATTTTAGATTTCACAGTCAAGTACCAGAATTGGAAAGTTTTTTTTGTTCTCACATGTGGTCAATGTTCAAGGCAAAAGTATCTTTAATGAGCTCACATATTGCAATGTGATACTTTTTTAATTTTAAACAACAAATGTCTGTGATACAACAAATGACATTCCTGTATGTTTGATTTCCACATCAAAATGGGCATTGGATGAGAAAACTCAATGTTGCAGGAAATACATGAAAAAGACAATCATGAGAAAAAAAAAAAAAATGCGCCGCCCGGGAATCGAACCCGGGTCGCAAGAATGGGAATCTTGCATGATACCACTACACCAGCGGCGCTTGTTACTGCTGCTGTTCATTTTAAACTATTTAAAGTTTTTCTTTTAAGGGTAAGTTAATTTACTGGTTTAATCAACTGAGAATGCATAAAATGTTCTAAAAAAAATAATTGCATGCGCTAAAACAATAAATCCATAACTTTCTCAATTATGACATGCACCCTATTCATCGAAACGTGAACATCGTTTTTCATCGACGAGTTTCTGTATAATTCTATCGCTATGTGTATTAATTTACAGTGAGACGTCTGTAGCATAATTATACATACTAAGAAGGTAATAACAACGCAGTTGCAAAAGATAAAAGTGTATGAAAGCTTCGCCTCCACATATGAAAGCAGCAGGAGGGAAATAGCATCAACAGCGCAGAATGATGCGCAGACGACAGGCAGACGACAAGGGATGTATGCATTGTCGAGGGGTCCCAGCAAAATTGTTGCGAGTACCCGCAGAGGTAAGATTAAAATTCAGATTTGAGACGTTCCATGGAACACACTAATGTCAGATATGATTCGTTGAAAAGATTAGGGTTCCTAGAATGTGTTGATCACACTTTTTGACCAATTTCAGGTCCACCGAAGCAACTAGATAGCCTCGAAAGTCGGGATATTTCATCAAAACGTGCTCCAGGAGAGCCCGTTATGAGGTAAGAAATTGAATACCGGAAGTTAATTATTCTGCGCGTTAGTTTCATGTTAATACCACCATGTAGAAGATTCTCTGAATGAAAATGCAAAGCATGAACACTGTTCATTCTGACCATCCGAGTCAAGGTCGGTTTTTTCAAGTTCAGCGGGGAGAAGAGCGCAAGAACGCTAAAAGTAAATACCCATATTTCACTAGGTATTTAACAGTAGCAGCTGTGGCGACTTGAGTCAGTCTCGTGACATGAGACATTTATATGATGTTCCCAAAGTATTAAAAGCATCGTCACAGAGAATGCTGAAATGTGTTGGCTGTAAGATGATGATGAAATCACATCAAACCTTGCCATTGGTCACTTCGCGCACCTGGCAGTGTAACCACGCCCATTTTGGGGTCGTGAGTTCAAGTAGAGTAAATGCTATTTGGTTCAGCAAGTGCCATAGAACGTGACTATGTATCTACTTTATACCAATGTCGTCCACATAAGTCTAGTTTGTGATCAGGTAAAAAGTCATTGGAAGAAAGTTGATTTTCGAGATGTATCTCAGTCATCCTATTTTTACCACAGTTTTGGGCTCTATACGTTGCTTTAGACCCATTCGCTGATACTCTTCCTTTGGCTTCATAGTTGATACATATACTTGAAAAAGTTGTGGTATTTCAGCATGTTCAGGGGCGGTGGGGTAGCCTAATGGTTAAAGCGTTGGCTTGTCATGCCGATGACCCGGGTTCGAATCCCCACATGGGCACAATGTGTGAAGCCTATTTCTGGTGTCCCGCCCGTGATGTTGCTGGAATATTGCTAAAAGCGGCGTAAAACCAAAACTCAGTCAGTCAGTCAACATGTTCAGTGCTCATGTAGCAAAGGGTGACATACCAGATAGCATTCGGACGTTGGCAATGTTGGCAAAACCATTGCCAAAACCATTGCCAATGTTGGGCCAAGGTCTAAATGCTATCTGGGATGTTTTCAGTAGATCTTAGTCTTAGTGTGTGGTCTTGAACTGAACCTTGACTCCAGTGGTTGCAGTAGGGTTGTATCAAAAGTAAACAACGGCAAAAAATATATTTCAGGTTATATTTAACATTTTGTTTACTCCATAAATGGTGTATTACGATCAATATACACTTCACTATTTGACTCATGAGATTTTTCCTGATGTTCCCTTGCACTCTATTTGACACATATCCAATAAACCTCTTTCTGCTTTTCTCTTGCCAACTGTAAACAAATATCTGCACACTTGCGGATGTGGGGAGATACATACAGGGTTTGACACTCACTGATTTCTCCCACTTGCCCAGAGGGCAAGTAGAAAAGTTAAACTACTTGCCCATCACAGATACTACTTGCCCCATGTTACGCGTTAGCGAGACAAGGAGTTTGCATTGAAACTAAACACCCAATCACGTCACTCGTGATGGTAAAAGGAAAACAGTCCCAGCCAATGAAGTCTGCCGTTGCTTTTGGCAATTTGTAAACACGACCACACAGTGAATTGAGGTTAGAAGTTGAAAAAATATGTACTTGCCACTCGGGCAAGCCTTTTAGCAATTTTACTTGCCCTGATTAATTAGTACTTGCCACGGGCAAGTGGACAAGCATGAGTGTCGAACCCTGACATATATATTGTCTGATATCCATTTCTTGGAAGTTGACAGATGACAAAGCAGATATAATTAATGGAAAGCAACTTCTTTATTGAACTGTGATAGCAAGGTTTTGGTATAAAATCCATACATTGTTTTCAAGCAAGATGATATGTATGCATAATGTTTTCATGGTTCAAGTATCAGACACAGTGAGCATGTGTTTAGGTAAGGTAGCAAAGTTGAGTAAATTTGTCCATTCTGCACTGGCCACCCGTCAATTATGATGCCTAAAACAAACATATGTAAGACAGGAAACTTCAAAGTGCATCACGATTCAAGTTTGTTGACCGAAAGTCGCCTTTGAGCCAAGATACCCTGCTAGGATGGGCACCATAAGCAGGGTTTTACGGGATGCATGATTCCTGCATATTGGACGCAGAAATTTGATGATGTACCCCCCAAACTAAAATCATGTGTGTCCATGTGGACGCAATATAATTTTCTTCTGGGAAAGAACTTTATGACTTTGTAATGATATCCCATATTAAAATATAAACATTCTGTTTACAATCTTTATTCTAATGACATTGATACTAATACATATTATAGCATAATCATTATCAAATGGGAAGCATCCATGATCATTGATGGACTCCCAAATTTCGAAATGGACTCTCAAAAAAATATGCCCTGAGTCCCCAGGGCTCCCAGTTTTGAAAAGCTATGTAAAACCCTGCATAAGTGGTCATTACATCTTGAAACAGATTTTTGAATATCTGTATGTTCTTGGTACACTTCCAAGAAATGCTTATGCATTGTGGTTAAGGGAGCATACTGTATTACTGAGTTTATTTTTCATATGTTAGGAAACATGTATGCCACCCAGGGTATCATTGTGTACACCATATTAGGGGCGGTGGGGTAGCCTAGTGGTTAAAGCGTTGGCTCGTCACGCCGAGGACCCGGGCTCGAATCCCCACATGGGTACAATGTGTGAAGCCCATTTCTGGTGTCCCCCGCCGTGATGTTGCTGGAATATTGCCAAAAGAGGCGTAAAACCAAAACTCAGTCAGTCAGTACACCATATTAATGTCATTAGTTACTGTAAAACGAACTATATGAGTAGGATTATGTTTCTTCTTTTGCAGCTCCCCCAAACCTGTTTTTAATGTAAATGGCAAGCGTGCTCATGTGAATAGGAGCAACAGTGCGCCACAAGAGCCCATCTCTCAACAACATGAAGATATTGTAAAGTACCTAAATGATGGTAAGCATATGTCTTCCTCTTCTCTTTAATGTCTCCACACATAAATCACTATATATTTCCAGTTCAAATAAGAGGAGTTAACTACATTGAAGCTGAACTACAATCATGCTGTGTTTGAGTTGTTTATCATTGTGTGTAGTTTCATCGTTATTATAGTATGTGGGCCCTGTCAGTAGTAGAATTAAATAAGATGTTGATAATGTGTAATTCTGATGACTGTATGTCATCATATCGTGAATCCACTGATCATGTTGTATGTTTCCTTGTCAGTAACAGAATGTTTCTCTCATTGCAGCCTGGAACAAAGTTCGACATGAACTTGAAGTAGGCAAGAAATCAGAAAGAGAAAGTAAGGTTTATTACATGTTTAGTTTTCTTGCTTAACTGCATGATTTCTACATAAAATACCTTTGCACACATTTGATCATAGACTCTAAATGCAATGAACATAATTACAATGTTTAATAACTGCATAGCAGTGTATAAAATAGTTTTGAAAGTCAGCCTGTCCAAGGACTGGCAGTCCAAAAAGTGACCAGTCCTGAACAAACACAGCCAGTCCCAAAAACTAAAACTCTTCATTCAAACCAAGTTAAGTGTATTTTTTCAAATATTTCCCCAGACCAAAGGACGGCCTAAATTATTTAAGAGACCGTCCTTCACAAATATAGACCGTCAAGGGCGGTGGGACGGGCTACATTTTATACACTGTGTACAGATTTAACCGTAATGTCAGTGTTACTGTTAAGCATTGTATTTTGCAATAGTTTTTACATTTTCATGTAAGAAACATTAATGTTAATTTCAGAAACGAAGATGCTCACATGTTATATTGAACTGTTTTTGAAAACTGATCAATGAACCAGTCACAGCTCTTTATATTACCCCCCAGAAATGCATTTTGCGGGGGTATTAAAATGGACTCGGTCCGTGCGTGTGTCCGTGCACATTTGTCTTTTCCGAGCAGAACTTTAAAACCGCTCAATATTTCTTCACCAAACTTGGCACATGGATAGATCTGGTGGTGTACTGGTGCCTTTGGTAGTTTTTGTATTCTGAATTAAATATTTTTGGCATTTCCATGGCAACAAGTTCGACTTAGACTGAATTTGGTGGTAGTGCTCTTTTCCGTAGCAGAACTCTAAAACCGTTCAATGTTTCTTCACCAAACTTGGCACAAACATACATCTGGTGGTGTACTGGTGCTTTTGGTAGTTTTGGTATGCCGAATTAAATATTTTTGACGTTTCCATGGCAACAAGTTCGACTTAGATTGAAATTGGTGGTTGTGCTCTTTTCCGTAGCAGAACTCTAAAACCGTTCACTATTTCTTCACCAAACTTGGCACATAGATTGGTCTGGTACTGTACTGGTGCCTTTTGGTAGTCTTGGATTTCTGAATAAAATATCCTTGCATTTCCATGGCAACAAGTTTGACTTAGACTGAAACTGGTGGTAGTGCTCCTTTCTGGAGCAGAACTTTTAAAACCTTTCAATACTCTCCTACCACTTTTCTATATACACACCAAACATTTGACATAATCATAACTCGTAGACATATCCATGAAGAGTACTTTGCCATTGCGGGGGATATTGATGACTTTGTCTTCTTGTTATAAATTAACTTGCAAAATCCAGAAAAAGGCATTCTATTCTTCAGGTGACTAGTATCAAGTCAGAAAAATCCATGCAATCTTGCCTGCCTTGGTTATTTATTTGATGGCCCTGTATATGTTGCTTTTACTGTTAGCAGTGACCGGGAGTTGCTTCCCTTGGCCATTTCAGACACCCTAAAATGTTTTGATTGAAAGTTTCTGATTGAAGTTTATGACCTACTTATATGGCTAAACTATCAGCTTGGCATACTGTAAACCGGAAATATTCTGCGTCAGTTTATATTTTGCGAATTTTGCCTTTCTCTTCCCCACGCAAAAAATTCTCGGCGTAGTTATATTAAGAAAGGTAAATTTACATCAAGAATATCTTAGACATCTTATTCATGAAAATACACAGACAAATTCTGCACACAATAATAACAAAATAGATGTATATTACGGGCGTACAACTTCCGCTTACCTCGTTCGTGAGGGTACGTTTTTCCCTCCAACAGCGATAGCCAATTTCACATCATATTATCAACAATCACGAACTGATTGCCGTCTTGTTTGCCATGGACTGCTAGTTTACAGTAGCATTGGTAAAATGTGTGTGAATTTAAATGGCATGCTTATTTCACCTCATTCCATGTGGGTACAACTTCCGCTTTCCATGTTCATGAGGGTCAGTATAAAAACCTTAGTGTTGATTATATATATTTTACATTTATTAAGCAAAACCTGTAATTAAAATAACACAATGCTAGGATATATTTCTTTGGGTTAAATACTAGTTTCATGTATTATATTTTACTGATGACTGCGTCAGAATTCATCTGTTATACTATTGTGTATGTTTTAACTAGCTCACCGGGAAACGTGTGCACAGCTGATTGCTATTTCTGGCTCTATATACCAGACAAATACACAGGGTAATCTTAATCCCTGCAAATAATACAATGCTCAGCAAAAACAACTTAGAACTGAGTTGATACTGTTGAGATCAAAGGGATTAATAAGAAACCTGTCATCCCTTTGATGCAAGAAGCAATGTAGTTTTAGTTAACAATGTTGTTTTTGCAAAGCCTACTATTCTCGCAAAAATAATACGTTGCAGAACAGGCTTGGGGTACGCTGACGCAAAATTTTCAAGACGCAGAATATTTCCGGTTTACAGTATATTTGGAGAGTCTTTTAAGGATTAATTATTCATTGTATAATAAGTTCATATTTTGTTACAGACGCTCCTCTGTGGTACAAAGAGAGGAATCCAAATCCCAGATTGCAAGGTTGGTTATCATGTCTTATTCTTTTATGTTAGAACATTTAATGTGTGTAAGTTCATAACAAAATATTAGTTCACCAGGTCTAAAACACAAAATGAGCTTTTGCTATGTTGGTCTTTCATTTGAAAATAAAATGAATGACAATCATTGCGCATACCTTGCACAAACTAACAAGGAAAGTTAAGTTAGGTTTGATTTCTCGTCTGATTGTCAGTTGGGATTAAAATTGGATAGATTCCAATACTGTTTGCTTGTCACACCGAAGACCTGGGTTCGATTCCCCACATGGGAACAACGTGTGAAGCCCATTTCTGGTGTCCCCTGCCATGATATTGCTGGAATATTGCTAAAAGCGGCGTAGAACTAAACTCAGTCAGTCAGTCAGTCAGTCATCTGCAGGCCCCCATGATGCTTTGGAAATATTACTGTGATATTAAGCAATGCACACCCACTCACTAAACTCGTTATCTTTGTATACTTTCAAAATACATACTGATAATAGCCTCATTGCTGTGTATGAATTTTAGTGGATAAATTCATGTTCTACATTTTTTCAGGATTTAAGGCATTTGATCTGGAGGAATTTTGGGGGAAAAGAACACTGGAAAAGCTAGACTTGACGGAGTCCAGTTGAAATCTCGACAGCTGTTGTTACAGTATTCAAACAAACTTGGCTGTAGATATTTTTAGCTTTGTCTTTTGACAACTAGTTTCCTCAAACTGTGAAAAAGATTTTAATATGTAATTTATATTCTGTAATATAAACTTTTTGACAATTTTAATCCAATGTGTTGTGTTTATTTTAAGTTGTGAAAGATATGCTGGATGATCAACATAAATAATGTCCATGTTGAAATTGTCATTTTATTCTGACCTGTAAACTGTGACCATTTTGATGACAATAAACTCTTCAACATCACCATTCTAAGGGTTTGATTTGTGTTTCAAAATTGGATGTAACATAAGAACGGCTATATGAAGTTGTGAACCACGAAAGATTATTTTCAAAATTTCAAGAGACAAAGTGAGTTACACTTACAGTGAGCATGAAGATAATAAGGTTGCTGCAGCTCCCTTTTTAACATACAAGCCTTATGAAATTGTTTGGTGGGTTAGTTTCTGAATTCTTATAAAAATGGACAGTTAAGGTCTTAATTGACGGTTTTGTACACATCTGTTTCTGGTGCCAAACAGGATTGGAGAATGGAGGTGCTATTTGACTGGCAAGAGCTCAACCATGCACTGAGGTGTAACGTTTCAAGGTGAAATCTGTAATATCCATTGGTACCTTCCTGCAACTGGGCGATTTTAATTGACCTTATAGAACTTCTCTCCACATTCCTATGCATTGCATATCCTGGAGATTCCTTAGGTTCCCGTTTTGACATTCCTATGTATTTCCTATCATTGATACACTTGCGGTTCAAGTTGCAGGGGTGGTTCACCTCTTTTGAGTACTCCCTTTCAGACCGGGAGGACTGCTATTCATATTCAATTTAAGCAAGAATTGGGATAAGCTAATAGTAATATGCATTCTCTTCGGGCGAAGTTTACTGTAAGGTTAAGCTTTCTTCTTCAGATAGTTTGTGTATCTTATGATATTAGAACTATTCTCGTCTATAAAGTTAACATATTCTAGGCGTCAGTAATAAATGGTCAAATGATATATGGCACATGTAAAGAAAGGTTTCTCAGAAATAATAATAGTATCATCATAATGTTTAATGTGTTGACAAACGTGACACATCGTGACATACAGACACAAACTTTAAACAGCACTATAGACCAACCCCCAAAATGAAAATGACAAACATGAAGCACTCATTCAATATCTTGTGTACCCTCTTCGAGCGTCCAAGACACGGGTGCACCTTGTTCTCATACTCCTTATCAAGTTCATAAAGAAAGCTTGCGGAATCGCATTCCATTCCTCCACTAGAGCTCTGCGGAGTCCAGGGTAATCCACTGGTGCTGGGTGACGTGTGTACACGTCGATCGAGTTCATCCCAGGCATGCTCGTCTTGCAGTAAATAGGGTTGACCATAAAAACCATGCATAGCTTGCAGGAATGGTACTGCGATAGGAGCCAGAATCTCGTCCCTATAACGCTGTCCGGTAAGATTACCGTCGATCACGTGCAGTGGAGTAGTCCAGTAAGAATAATTCCTGCCCAAACCATGACCAACTCCCGCCAAATCGGTTATGCGTGGCCACAGTTGCATCTGTGACTCGCTCTTCATTGCGACGATAAATCCTCTGCCGACCACCATGGAAGGACAAATTGAATCTGCTTTCATATGTGATGAGCACACAAGATCACTGACTTGATTCCTGCGGCCATGATGTCTACTCCATCTTAAACGCGACTGCATGTGACTTGGTGTTAGTGGCCTACAGTGGAGCCCGGCTGCCCTTAAACGTCGACCAACGGTGCTCCTGGATTTCTTTACATTGTTAACATTGAAGTGTTCTGTCTGAAGATCTGTTGCGTTAAGGAATCTGTTACGTAACGCAGTGTTAATCATGTGCCTATCATCTCGGACTGTTGTGACTCTGAGGCGACCTGGTCGACGTGCATATTCCACGCACCCATTGGCTTGAAAGCTCTGTCACAGTCTACCAATATCACTCTCAACAACATTAAAGCGGACAACAACCTGCCGATGAGTTTGACCAGATTCCAAAAGGCCTATAGCCTGACCCCTTTCAGCAAGTGTCAAAAAACGTCTCATTTTGAAATGCGATTTCAAACAGGTACCTGAACAGTAAACGGCAGTGAAAAAGTATCAATGCATGTGTTATGTCCTCCACTTTCCATGGATAGAGGGACTTGCACGTGCAAACCACTGACATTAAGTGGCAGGTGGATTTCTATATTGACAATTTGAATAAAAAATGTGCCATTTGTAACACGATGTATTGGACGATGTAAAGAACGTAGTAATGACATTTCAACGACCTGACGTGTTTTTCTATACTGTTAAGAAAGCTTGTAAAACATTCAAATGTATATAATTTTTCCTTTCCTGACTAATGCTTATTTGCTTGTCTTCTTCCGAACCTAGTGGAACACTTGTATCTCCTTATTGAAGTTCCTTTCAATAAAGTGTACGTAAAATCACTATTCACCAGAGTTATCCCTGTTTCCTGTTTTGGCGGGAAAAGTGGCACCACTGTCTTCCCACGCTTCACTCTCTCCTTCTTCGCCCTGTGAGCAGGTTGTGAGAGCGCCTGTGTCTCCTATACGGCACTATATCCTTTTATTACTTAGTTAGTCACCTCTATTATTACTTTATAGAGGTTTAGCTAGTATATTTCAACAATATGGTTTCATATTTAATCGTATTTAGCACTGTTTATTCACGGGTTAGTCCGTGTTTGTTCAGTTGTTTACGTTCATGAAAGACTGTTCCAATTGTAGATTACGTTTCTCTGCTGCTGACTCTCATCAATCGTGCCCTAGCTGCACGGTACCATGTTCTTTCAGCTCCCACTGCATTAATTGCAAGCATTTAACTACTTGTGCATTTAATAAATACCTTCTTTCCGTCCTTAGACGTGCTGCAGATAGGTCTAAACGGGTTGGTCCAGTCATGGATAAATCAGCGGAGTCCCTCACCAGTCAACTGCTGTCTGACGACCCCCTTCCGTCTGATGTTCCGCTGGAGTTTCCCTCGGAGGAGAGGCGTGGGACGAAGTCCGCCACCTCCAAGAAGAGACCTGCTACTCCGGACATCCCGTCGTCTCAGCCTAAGACTCGGAAATCGTCAACCACCCAGCGCAGACTCCGCACCCCCAGGGCGTCATCCACCACCAAGGGGAAGTCAGCGCAGACAACACAGACTTTCTCAGCTGAGATTGTCCCGTTGACGGAACAGGGACTCTACGATGATCAACCGATCATCATCCCAGAGGTTCGTCCCAAGAAAAGACCAGTCTCAGCTACGGTGACTTCAGCGCAGATCTCCACGCAACCCGAGGTATCTACGCTGACAACAGATGGCGTCCTGTGGGCTCGTCGTTGCAATCACCGCAGAAAGAAAGGGCAGCGCTACCACCACTGCAGACCTTCAACCCGGGGGATTTTATGCGGCAGTTCTCCCAACAGATCATGGAGATGATGGAGCAGCGTTACAGCCTGGAGAAGAAGTCACAGCCAGCCCACAAAGAGGTCCCGAGCCTTAGCGAAGGCTCCAAGGCAGACGTCGTCTCTGAGGGGCCCTCCATCAACGTGACATCTGGCAGCAGATCTACACTGCAGGACCAGCCTGCGCGAAGGTCGCCTCAACCATCCCCTGCGACGGACTCGGACGATCAGCATCCGCGAAGGCATTCGCGAAGGACGACTCGGTCATCGCCTGCTATGGATTCGGACGATCAGCCACGCCGATCTCCACGCAGGTCTCCGTGCAGGTCTCCACACAAGTCTCCGCGCAGGTCTGCGCGCAGGTCTCCACACAGGTCACCGCAGTCGCGAAGGACTCCACCTCGATCACCATCGGAGGAGGATCAACGTCCCATACTCAACACTCCTGTCATTGAGGATGACGGCGGGATCATCTTTTCGGACGCTGAAATACGCTACTGGATGGCCAACGGTTTAGATTTGGCATCACCATCTAAGGATGATAATCCGGCTCACACCTATCTCATGCAGGAGGATGATGTCGACACGATCACTCTCCCTCCGATTGATCCCATCGCAGCGGCCCCGAGAACCTGGACGCAGCCTTCAAGTCAGCCACAAAAGCCCAGGCGCCGCATCTACCACAGTTCAACGCCAAAAAGTTCTCCTTCCACAACATGGATCCATTCCTGAAGGCACAGGAGATCGATGAGAACTTCAAAGTCATCAGTGATGCCAAGGCCAAGTTGAAACTATGACCAGGCGCATGTTCTTTGGCCTCAACAGATCAAGGGCAGTCAACGAAACGCTCATCGCTAAATTCCGAGACTCTACTGCGGAAGAAGATAGGATGATATATTCGGCCCTCCTTATGCAGAAGAAGGACCAACAGTTTATGACAGACCATCTCTCATCCATCTCCGCAGCGCTGACACTGGCACGTCGACAAGGTCTCCTCGCCTCCTGCAGTTGGAGTGACCACTTTACCAAGTCACTCTACACAGCTCCGTGGTCAACTCCTTCCATCTTCGCTGGAGGAATCGACGAGGTTGCCAAGGAAGTTACCAAAGACTCAAGGGAGGTCCTTATGATCAAGTCCATAGATACTCTGGCCAGCGTCATTAGGCAAACATCCCAGTGCTACTCGGGCAAGTCCAATTTTCCTGGGATACAGAGAGCACGGGACAAGACAGTGGCTAGCTCCAGAGGCGGAAAAAGTTCCTTTCGTCGCCCCCGTCGGCAACTACAGAGCGAGGTCCGGACGAGGCAGGGCACCCAGAGGCGCCAAGAGTTATCGACGATGAAAGAAGGGTTCGGAACGACTGGAGTCTTCCACCCCCAGCCGTTCCTGTACAACCTTCACAAGTGGGTGGACGCCTTCAGCTACACTGGGAAAACTGGGGAATACTTCAAGATCCGTTTGTATCCAACATCCTAAGAAACGGATATCGCATACAACTACAGGCCGCTCCACCGCTTACAGTCGACCCTCACAAGTTCGACTTCAAGACTCATCAGATAGAGCAGTTACGAGAAGCAGTCTCATCTCTACTAGTAAAGCGAGCCATAGAGGTCGTAGATCAAACCAACATCACGCCAGGTTTCTACTCCCCAGTTTTCCTAGTGCCCAAGAAAAACTCCAAAGAAAAGTTCTGACTCATCTACAATATGAGCACGTTCAACAGAGAATATCTGAGCAGACCTCCCAAGTTCCGCATGATACATCTACCTCAACTAATCCACCTCGTCCATCCGATGGACTACATGGCCAGCATAGATCTACAGGACGCCTACCT